ACACACACACACACACACACACATACACCTTGCTCTCACCTTGAACCACCTTCTCTCTCATTCCCCCTTTTTTTCAAATGACTGTTTCAGTTTGCTTTATCAGCATGCCCTGTGAATACATTTATCTTTCCAAATCATGCTAGAGAAAATTAAAAGAAGAAAAAAAGCAAGGGTGATCATAGTAAAACAAATACTACTGGTCCTTTTCAGCTATCAGTCATGTCAACTGATCACAGTATGAGTATCCAACAGTACAACACGTCTGTTCACATGGAGTCTGAAGCTGTCATATTCTGCACTGCAGAAAATATGCAGTCTAATTTATTCAATAAAAATAATGACATTGATGAGAGAATGTACAAGGGGACAGGTGTTGGTTAGTGAGAAGTTGAGGGTGAGTGTCTTTTGCACCTGCTTGATGGTCGTTAAGTAAACCACATGAAGGAACATTGAGCTGCATAGCGACGTATCTAAAATCCATCCATGCTGCAGTGTTTGAGAACAGAGAATACTCTTCCCCCTCTAGTGCAGCAGGTGCCAGATATCATGCAACATTTCGGCTGTTTGAATTGTGGGAAGAAAAAATGATGGTGCACTTATGTAACTGAGCCCAAATCACCATATCTTTGTAAGATCGATGAAGCCAGGAAGGACTTAACTTGTATGATATTACAACAATACTTTAAACACCATTGCCTCTCACTGCTTCTTCACTCTCCTCTGTACAAAGCTCTCTGTTCCTTCAGGTCACCGCTGTGAATCTGCCAGCACGAAGTGTGAAATGCACTGGAAAATTCCTCCTGCAGACTGAGCTCAGCATTTGCAGGCTAATTTTCTTCATTACAACCCGCAACAAAAGGCTGTGACAAGAACAGCGTCTCCTGTGTTCCCTGAAGTGGTGTTAAATTTGTTTCGGATGCTTTAATTGGGCTGAAATGTTGCCAAAACCTTCTTACCCGTGTGAGCTGTTGAGTAATGGCAGTCAACGGTTTCTCTCCTGCCTTTCCCATCGTCCTTCCTCCTTCCACCACCATCACCCCCTCCCGCAGGGATGTACAGTTGTGGTGTTGTATTATATCACAGCGTAGTAGCGGTGTGCCGATGTCTGTGTTGAATGGTAATTTCCTGCTGACTCAGCGCGCCACGAGCCGCAGCTCGTCCATACAGCAGTTCTGTCGGGGCCTGTTAAAAGCCGAGGGAAAGGCAGACAGAATGGGGAGTGCTGGATGGTGTGTGAGAGCATGTGTGTGTGTTTGCTCTTGAGGGGGGGGGGGGGGGGGGGGGGAGGTAAAACAGCAGCAGCCCTTAAGATTGCACAACATTATGCAGCCTTGCACCGTGATGGGAAAGTAATCGTAAGGGCACGTTGCGCTCTCTGATGTAACAGATGGACACATAAATAGGTCTGACGCTCTTTTATGCACACAGTTGCATAAGAATGCATTTATGACCGTCATTAGTCTAGTAGGATTTTACAATTTGATGCCAAAATATAAACAGGCTCAATTTAAGAGATGCAAAGAATGACAAGAAATGGGCAGCGGAGAGTAATCCATCGAAATTGCTCTTTAATGAAATGAGCAATGGGAGAACAACGGAAGCTCAGGAAGCAGAGGCATGGTGCGCTGTTTTGACAACAGCCGTTTCATCCAGAAAGGATTAACAGATTGTGCAAAGGGATTACAGCATCTCCAAAATTGTGATGTTACGGTCACAGCAGCACATACACATTCACACACAATTGGCTTCAGGTGACAGTGGAAGAGATTAAGGCATGACTGTGCATCATAATGTCATGACGGCATATGTCTCACAGCTCACACACACACACAGCATGATCATAGGTAGTGCTGAGTCATCACACAAAATGAGATTGGAGTCAGGGTTTTTTACGCAAATAAGGAACAGAGACAAATATTAACGCACGTTCTCATGCATTTTAATATCACAGCATTGTTCAGGGAGCGTATTTCCATATCTGCTATGATGAAATGGCATATGTGCGTTGCTTAAATCATTTACATAAAATTTGCTGAAACCATGTTCCTGGGCCGTCTGTATTCATGCTCATCGTTTGGTGTTTGTGTTTTAATTCCTGTAGAGCACACACCCACGTCACACACAGGTCTATGTTCCTACGCTCCTCCTTGGAGCTGGAGGTAACCCCAGGACGGTCTTTCCCCGGCCTCCTTCCGTCTGTATGGTCACGCTCATCAGGTGGAAGTCACGAAGGATGCTAATAATACATTTTGTGTTGGTGGATGTCTGTGTGTGTGTATGTGAGTGTTTGTTGGGGCGCACCTGTGTTCCTCCATATGCTTGTTCTCACACACTGTGGGACAGTCACATGGGGAAGGAACACTCTCCAGCCCACACACAGGCTTATTGCCGCACTCCACCTAACGCTGCATAAATGACACACACACACACACACACACACTATCATTATTAGCATGCGTAATCCTTGATCAAAACAAAGAAATTGTCATTTTGGCGTAATTGTTACACACATACACACACACACACGTAAAAATGCACACAGTGTATCCGTATCTTCTTAATAAGCCCAGTGGAATTGCAGCCAAGAGTACACACCCAGGAACTCAAACATCGCTGCACACACAAACATACACATGGTGTGTGTATGAGTAAACAAGTTCTACCTGGTGCCAGTGACTTAGCACTAGTGGTGCGAGAGCCACCTGTTCTCTCCACCTCCTCACCCTCTCTGCAGTGTCTCCTGCTGTCCTTCCTCCTTCTCTCCTTCCATTAATCTCAAGCGTCCTCTTCATTCGATGGCAGCACAGTTGACCTCCGACCTCTGCTGTCTTTCAGGTCCTCCTCAGTCAGGTGCATCGGCTGCGGGCTCTAGACCTGCTCGGACGGTTTCTGGACCTGGGACCATGGGCTGTTAGTCTGGTGCGTTCATATGACATATCTTGCATTCACATTGTTTATAGCCTAATCAGGCAACACTGACTTTTTACCTCCACCAAGAAAGTAACATTTTTGTCAGTATGTGTTTGTTTATAAGTAGGATTACACTAAAACTACAGAACCGATTTCAACTGAATACTGTGGAGGGGTGGGACATTAAAGCCATGAAATGTCCCTGTTCATTTGGAACAAGCTGCAGTTTTTAGGTTCAGTTTTAAACACATTTTTGGTTGATTTTTCAGAGAATAATTCATAGATCTTATTTTTTTTTTATATAGTTTTTTGTTGAGCTCTCAAGCAACATACAGACGTAACAAAAATGACACAGATACACTAAATAGACAAGAAAAGAGTAAAATTTTAACAGAATGAGAATTATATATTTTGAAGGACTGATATTTATAAGTCAGTGTAATTTAGTGCAGATCTAGGTAGAATAATAGTGAAATTAAATGTGGTTTTATAGGGGAATTTTGGGCCTTGGTGGAAGTATGCACTTGTAGTTTATAATATGATTTTAGAATGAAATTTGATATTTCATAAGGACGCCACTTTGACATCACATGAACCATATGATAATGAGGGATTGATTTATGTAGTGATGTTATGATGATGTAATTCCTACCAAATACAGCAGAGATGCCTCCTAAAATGCATTTCAGCCCTAGGCCTTTAGGTAGTGAATCATTTTATGATTATTTGTGGAAATATCTTGAGAATGTGTTTTTGCCATCATGTTTTTGTTGACCATGGCCTTTGATTAATCAGCTCAAATAGTTAATAGTTTGTGATGAAAATCGGCACACCTCGAAAATGCCAGTTAACACATTGCAGAGATTAAAGAAACAGTTTGTTAATAAGTGACCTCCTGCTGGGAGTTTTTTTTTAGAAAAGCCAATTAACAGTCTCTCTCTGACATCCAGTATTTATGCAAAGCTCACTTAAACTAATCATGCCTTTGTTTCAGCTCCATACTCCAGCACACAGACATGAGAGTGAATTATTATTCCTTAAAACTCAAAAAGAAGTTCTGTGTATTTGTGAGCGTGTTACCCATAATTGCCAGGTCACTTTTCGAAAAAATCATATGAGATAATAGATTTCTTTGTAAACAGGCAGTTAAGAGCAATATACACATGTAGCATTCTGTTGGACATCATAAAGTTACAAGAATAAGTTTAATTTAGTTTTAATGCTTGGAGAATATTCAATATTTAAATATATATATTTAAATATTTTATATTTTACAGCTTATTTGATTTCACTGTCACTCACAAACAACGGTTGTGTGTGTGTGTGCTTCCAGGCCCTGTCTGTAGGGATCTTCCCCTACGTGTTAAAGCTGCTTCAGAGCTCAGCCAGAGAGTTGCGGCCACTGCTGGTTTTCATCTGGGCTAAAATCCTGGCTGTGGACAGTGTAAGTTATGTAAAACACTCAAACACATTAAACTCTTCATCTCTTCTAAACCCTTATTGACTTTGACCGTTTTTTTGAGGTTTTAACGTCACAGGTTGAAGGGACCAGTCAGATCTAGTGGCACCAAGCTGTGACATTGAACATGCAATGATTGGAACACTGCTCACTTTACCCCTCACCCTCTCTAGAGCCAGTATTTGGTTTGTCCGTTCTGGGCCACTGTGGAAAACGTGGCAGTGCAATATGCCGAACTTTGTGGGAAAGTGTCCACTCATGGATGTCATTTATATCTCAAGTCAAATTAATTTTACTTGTATGGCACCAAATCACAACATGGATTATCTCAAGGCACTTTGCATTAAAGGGAAAACAACTGTTTACAACATTCAATATCTGCAGCTCCCTGTGTCATGCAATGAATTCTGGCTGCCTTGTTGTGACTCACACGTGGAAAGAATACAAAAAAAAGTGTAGCTTGAAAGGGTCAATTTTGAAGTCAGGTGTTGTTGCCGTGAATATAAACAGAATAATCAGCCAGTGAGGGGCCTCTCATGTCTTTTTACACCGTTGATGTTACAATGACAAAGAGCAGATCTGGTGAAGCGAACATAACACCTGAAGTCTTTGAATGCTTCCACTGAAGCTGTCGGGTACAGAAACTTTTATGAATGTGCAATTCTGTTTTGATTCTTGGAGCTGGTTTGATTGAATTGCAAATCCCAAACTAGTAAAGCTGCTTTGGTTTGATCTGTGCACATGTTTCTATTTTGATCTGATAAAAGTTCATTTTTGAGTGAGTCAGGCAGTCAAAGATTTCAAATGACTCTATGTGCATTGACTTTTAATAACAAAATTGCACTCTCCCACACACTTATTACAAATGTTTGAGTCAGACAGTGACTTTGATTGAGAGCATTTAGCTTAACCGCCCATTAGAAATAAGAATAAAACCCAAAGCCCTCTATAGTAATCTGCCTGAGAGCTGCATGATTTCATGTAACGTCCTTTCACTTTTTAGAATAAGTGAAAACGGTCAGAGTCACCTTTATTCTTAAAGGCTACATTTTTATTTTCACACCTATGTAGATATTTTTATTTAAAAACACCTCACTCACACAGTTTAGAGAGGCCACCAAGGACAAACACTCTTTTATGACAGAAGTGCTCTGAATCCAGGATGAGAGGAAAGTGAACTAAAGCAACATCTGCAACCCCCTCTCTCCCTCTGTCTATTCCTCTCTGTTTCCCTCTTTCCTCTCTCTGTGATTCTTCAGTCATGTCAAGCAGACCTGGTAAAAGACAACGGACACAAGTACTTCCTGTCCGTTTTGGCCGACAGTTACATGCCAGTGAGTATTGCCCGATCCCGTCAGCACGTTTATGAGAACAGTGACCCACAGCACACGCTGCAGTTTTTCTGGGTTGACTTGAAAGTCGATCTCAGAGACCCTCTTTCTGTTTCAGGCTGAGCATCGAACCATGGCTGTCTTCATACTGGCTGTTATCGTCAACAGCTACAACACAGGACAGGTACGAGTCTGTGTGTGAGTCGTTGTCTGCTGTCTGTCTACTTGCTAAAAGCCGAAAGGGAGAACATACCAAATTATTAATTTACTTCCCCCAGCAGAATCGTGGCGGGTTCTTTCGGGAGCCAGACGTCACTTTGAGAGATGGCTTTATCGCCCATTGTGTATTTCCGGGAGATATTGGTTATGTGACATTTTTGTCACCGACAGTTCCCACTGTAATCTCCGTCTCCGTCCTAGCCACCCTCATGGTGACGCTTTATCACTGCAAGTGTCACTTCAGTCTGCTCCTGGCCCCCGGTGTTCAATCCCAGAAGCCTTTTGTTTCTGACACTGATCAAACGTCCAAGGGTTTGAGGTTGGAGAGATGTATCCCTTCATTTCATGGCGTATACACACACGCACACAAGACTCACACACAGTATTCTTGACACGCTATTTACAAAGAAATATTCCACCTTCACTCATTTTCACTTCCAGTCACTTCCTCTCTACAGTTATTTTTCCATCTAGTTGTGTGTGTAATTTAACTCATTCATTTCTGTCTTCCCTACTTTACTGTTCTTCTCTCGCTTGACATTATATTATTTTAACAAATCAGAAAAGCTATATGTGCTCTCAAGTTCAGACACAGCCATTCTTCTTCCATACCACTGTGTACTTAATGCTTCTACCTCTCTCACAGGCCTGTAAATAATAGATGATACCCAACAATACAGAAAGAGACTCTGCTGGTTCCACATCTCCATTATTTATCCCTCTGACTTTCAACAACAGCGCTCATTACTGCGGTATTGTTGTTGCGAACATGTCACAATGCACTGGCATCTTAATATTCCAGCTCTCAGGGTTCAGCAGGGAGCTGGGATCAGAAAAACCTGGGAACGGCGTCTGTGGGATCATAGGAACATAAAGAAAATAGAAAGGGGGTGAAGAGATGCGAGGGTGTGTGTCACTGCTGTTAGAAGATTTGTTGTCGGGACAACTCAATCTGCAGGAGACAAAAGATTATTCTCAGCACAATAACTGTGTTCATCTGCTTACAAAGTGTAAAGGCTTTTAGGTTCACAGGGAACTTTTTGAGTTTCATCTGGTTGCTGAGAGCTTTGAAGCCCTTAACCCTGAAGGTCCTTATTTACATCCGTTCAACAACGTCCTGGTGTTACATTCACCTCTGCTGCTCCGAGTTTCTAACAAACGCACTGCATTCGATTGGCTGCTTTTTATCAAAGCCGGAATTATTCAACAAATAAAAAGAACATTTCTCGCAAGTTATTGTCAGCTCAAGAATACATGCTTTTCTTTCCTGGTTTGCATTTAATGTGAAACAGCTGCAGGTTGTGTTGCATATTTATTGATACTAGATTGAAAAAACACCAAACTATAACAGACTGGAATTGATTAAACACAACACTGCAGGTACACTGAGTCCCACCCCGGCCTATGAAACATATGTGGTATTGCTTTGTATTGGCCGAGCTTTATATTTTATTTCATTAATATAAACTTCAATCAAAACATCTGCCAAGAAGTGACTGGAAATAAATAGTGAATAAAAAAAGTGAAAGCTTTTTACTGCACGGTTTTACCATTCACCCATTCACACACACACACACACACATACATTCATACAGTGCATCTGCGTGTAGCACTTCACGTCAGCCATGMATTCTTCCCTTGTGAAGATAATAATGTTCAGTTTTGACTGACACCGTCAGAAGTATGAATTCACTGTGCCTGGTTCGAATCCCAATTCTGTCAGGGTCTCTCTGTATGAAGCTTGCGTGTTCTTCCTGTGCATGCATGGATTTTCCTCCAAGTACTGCAGCGTGTCCAGCTCAGTAATTAACATGTAGTTTTATTTAGAGATTTTTAACAAACATTGAAGGGGAAGAACATTATGTGACTCAGTAGAACAGGTAATTCCAACCAAGCCAATTTACATCCATTACTATCAAATCAAGCCCTGTACTTGTGTCACCTCATGAAAAGAAGAAACATCTGAGGCTACTGAAAACAGTGGAGGAGAATACTCACTAAGTTTTAAAAGGATTTTGGATAATACACACCAGGTTTCCCTTCAGACTTCACACTGACTCAAACTTTGATGGACCAATTACCTTTTGTCCACAAAAAGGCTTTGAAGAAGACTGGTGGATTCAGAGGAATAAGTCCTTTATAATCTTTTTGTACATCACATAGTGTGAGGTCACAGGTTAGTTTTGATTAACTGGCTAATAAGTTACAGGTCTGCTCCCAGCCTGAAGCCTCTGTACGGCTCAGCAGTGTACGACAGTGCAGATATTGTTATTAAATATTAAAAACTGCCAGGTCATTGTTGATGACCATAATATGTGCAGGTCTACACTCGGAGTCCACTGTCTCTTCTACAAGAGCTATGAGTGAAACATTTGTAACTCAAAGGAAATTAACACAAATATCCTTTGTACTGTTCTTACCTCATAACTAACAGGTATTAAACCATTTTTAAACCCAAAAATTACAAAGGGCACATCTGACCGATGGTGGCATGGTGTTGCAGTGGTTAGCAACATCGCCTCGCAGCAAGAAGGTTTCCAGTATGGATCTTTCTGTGAGGAGTTTGTATGTTTAGTCCCGTGTCTACATGGGATCTCTCTGGGTTTTCCGGCTCCCTCCCACAATCCAGAATCATACAGATTGGGGTTAGGTCAATTGGAGCCCCTCAATGACCGTAGGTGTGAATGTGAGTGTGATTGGTTGTTTAACTCTATATCTTTGCCCTGTGATACGCTGGTGACCTGTCCAGGGTGTACCCTGTCTCACCCCTTAAAGGATAAGCAGCACAGATAATGGATGGGACATCTGAGCAACTGAATCTCTCTCACTATTCTCCATTTGCTCTACATCCTCCTTCTCTTGCCCTCCTCTTTCCATACCAGGAGGCCTGTCTGCAGGGCAACCTAATAGCCAACTGCCTGGAGCAGCTGTCAGACCCCCATCCCTTGCTTCGTCAGTGGGTAGCCATTTGCCTGGGCCGCATCTGGCAGAACTTCGACCCTGCACGCTGGTGTGGTGTCCGAGACAGCGCCCACGAGAAGCTCTACACCCTGTTGTCGGATCCCATCCCTGAGGTGAGAAAGTTTATTCCTGAGTTCTGAAACATTTAAGAAGTTAACAGGGATGTTTTCAGTCACTCTCCACATCTTGCCTTACAACACGGCAAATTAAGAGGAGATATCAAATTACATTTTACAAATGCTTGAATCCCATTTTGGTTATTTGTAGGAGGTAATCTTGTCAGGCACCATTTGTATTACATTTGGTCTGAGATTATATGTCAAGATTTGTCTTTGTGATGGATTTAGAGAAAAATAGATTACAAGGCGTCATCAAACAGCGAGCAGAGCAGACGCAAACAGTTTTTGCCCACTGTGTTAAAACCAGATGGTTGACATCTGACTGGGTCGTGTGAAGACCACAGGGACGGTAATAAAGAGTTTACCCTGAAATTCACCCAGACACTTTGTGCTCCCGCTCATACACACTTACACATAATTTGTATTTGTTCACACTCCCATGCACACACAAGGAACATCTGTCTCTACCAGAAACTGCCTCTTTCCCTTGGACAGACAGCTGCTACAGCCATAGGGTTGAAACAGAGGTCTGCACACACACACACACACACACACACACACACACACACACACACACACACACACACACACACACTCACACACACAAAGACACACACTTCTTTTCAGCTGCATTTCCAGGTTGTGCATTTAGTTTGCATTCAGTGTAAGAGTTATTTAAGGTCACAGGAGACTGACTGATGATAATTGACTGCATCAAATTGTAAGGAAAATGGCACATTTACAAATATATTGCTGCACTTAAGTTCTTCCCAGGTGTTTGATTGAGACGCCTCAGATGGTGTAGTATGTGTCTGTGTGTGTCTGTCTGTGTGTTCGTGTGTTCCCCAGAGCCTTGTGAAGATGACTGAAGAAAGTGACGAGTAGCTGAGAGACAGAGTGAAAGTGAAAGAGGATCAGAGACTAAACAGAGTGTTTAATTAAGTTTAAGTCTGAGGGGACAGAACCAAGATGACACTGTTCTTTAGTCACAGCTTGTGACTCAGTACAACGCACACTGAATGCTTTTGTTGATAGTATTTTTAAAAACTCATAAAGCTGAATGTGCATTTAAATAGATATTGCTGATGCTTCTCTGTGCAGAATGTGACACGTTTTTCTTTTCGGCTTTATTGTGTTTGTAATGGATTTATTGTTGTAAGTCTGCTGCCGCCGTGGTCCCGGGCTTTTATTCAAAATAAGGCGTCTTCCTGGTTAAATCTTTTCTGCTTGCGTTTTCTTTTCTGTAAAAGTTGATGTTAGCTAGCTCAGTGTTGGTAAGACATGTGCAGGAGCTGGATAAAATGCTATAACTATCTGTGCTGTCAAACACACTAATACAGCATGCAGCAAAAACAACCTTTATAAAGTTTAGAATATTCAACTTTCAGAAAAAAAAAAAAATCTTTTGTTGGAACTGTTGATACATTTCTGTGCATGTTTTAAGTACACTGTCAATATGCACTTGTGAAAAGATAAAACCAATACAGGTGAATAGTTCTATTGGACTGTATTAGATCGAACACTAGTTCACTATATTCTGACTCTGGTTTGTTCCAGTGCATAACGATGAATCAGAGAAATCCTGAGTGGAGATGGCAGATTAAGATGCTCTCAGTGTTGCATCCTTCTCTTCTAATTAGCTCTCAAATCAAAGTCCCTTTATCATTTGTTATTCCAGGTTTTTGGAAGAAAATGACAATTTGTTCATGTGAAATGTTTCAGCTGATCATTTTCATCCGAGCAAAACAAACCTTTTCAAAGCAGCTGTGTGCTGTAGCAACACAGGAATAAAAAAGTAGCTGTGACGATGACATGGAAACATCCAGCTGGAACAGAAAGCTTTAATTTTTACATAACAGATCAATTGAACTGAGAGTAGAGTATACTGAAACTTCACTGTGTGCGTGTGTTTGTGTGTGTGTGGTGTCTCGCTGCAGGTGAGATGTGCAGCCGTCTTTGCTCTGGGGACGTTTGTGGGAAACTCTGCTGAGAGGACAGATCACTCAACTACCATTGACCACAACGTGGCAATGATGCTGGCCCAACTCATCAATGATGGCAGCCCTGTGGTCCGCAAGGTCAGATCACTACCACACACACACAGTTAGTCTCATATTATTAGTGTGACCAACAAATGAAATACCAGATGAAAATAGAGACTATGGTTAAAAAACTAATGAACAGCAGAAAGGTGTTTGCTGGAGGACACTACACTGCAGACCAAAGACTAATAACACAAATGTTGTGTGAAGGTATAGTTGATATTTTTAGGAAGTGCATTATCTTTCTTCCTGAGAGTCAGATGAGAAGATCGCTACTCTCATGTTTGTGTTTTGTGTTCAGAAGTAATTAGAATGTCTCTCAATGTAGTGCATGCCATTTTTGCATTTGCTTTAGAATTAACTTAACAAGATACAGCATGTTAACTGTTGAGCTTTAGAGCTGTTTCCTTCCTGTCTTCACATTAAGTTTGGCAGTTAAAGCTAAAGCTCTGTACTCGGCATAAAGACATGAGAGTGGTCTCAATCATCTCGTCATCCTGTTGACTTCTCTGGGACAAAACACACCTGCAGACAATGTGGTTAAAACATTTTCATATTGTTTGGATTTGCCCTTTAATCTAATCATACTAGTCCTGAAAAATCACTTTGGGGGTTTTCTTCTGTACATGTTCGACAGGAGCTGGTTGTAGCACTGAGTCACCTGGTGGTCCAGTATGAAAGCAACTTCTGTACAGTCGCTCTCCAGTTTATAGAGGAAGAGAAGAACTACACAGTGCCATCACCAGCTAACACCACAGGTATTCAAGACACACAAAAAGAAACTAGGTAACTGAATCACCCGCTAAGAGTAATATGTGGAAATCCTGGAGGTGCTTTCACCAGGTTCCTGTGACCATGGATCAGTGTAGGAGAGACCCAGCGGTTAACTAACTGAAGGTTATGGTTTAGTTTTAAAGTACTTGAGTGTTGCTGTGCTGAGTGTTTCTTCTGTTTCTGTCAAATATGTTGATGCAATACAGTCACGGCACCTGAAATACCTGCAAGTGAGGGGTACTGTAAAGGAGTTACCATCCAAATAGGAAACAAGTCGTCAATATTATCCGAAATTAATCAGTTTTTTTTTTTTTTAACTGTCTTTTTGTTTTGAATGACATGTGAAATGTTCAAACCACTCAGCATTATAAGAGGATTTGTGATTTTTGTCACTGAAATGAAATGAGTCAGACAGCAAGAAAATACCTTAAAGGATGTGGTTCAATGTGCTGTTATGCAGATCAGGGCACAACCAAGTCATGTGAAGCAGAAGAGCTGAGAGCAATTAGATGTTTGTGATCTAAATTGTATTTTTTGGATAATTTGGCTTTCATTAAATTGACATTATGGCATTATCTTGAATTGCGTGTCCACTGCATGGAACCTTGTCATGTGCCCAGGTTTGTTCCCACTGTATTTTATTCTCTATATAACCATAGACTGTGAGTTCAGCTAAGCAACGACCTTGTACAGTAAATCTGGCAATTCACACCTTTAGTTACTGTATTGAATAATGAGAAAATGTTCATAAGAGTAACTTTCAATAGTTTTATAGTCAGGTTGATGTTAAGAAGTGTCTTTATAATGAGAGGATAATTCCGTCCTTGAACGAGTCATCTCTGACCAATGGATGTTTCTCATTCTATTTATTTTCATGGGTGTCGGATCTGATCTAATGTGTGTCCTGTTTTAACATTCAGAGCCTGGTAACCTGACTCCAGTGAGGGACAGTCCGGCCATCCCACGCCTGCGATCGGTCAACTCTTATACCAACATCCGAGCTGCTACCACTGCCCGCAACCTGAACAAGAGCCTGCAGAACCTCAACCTCAATGAAGAGGGTAGGAGGACAGATAAAGATGAAGGAGGAGGTTTAGTCAGCTGAGTGAAAGCAATTAATCCAAGTAGAGGCCCCTGTACAAATAGAGGTGGTTTCTCTCCACCACGTCAGCTGTGGACTGTGGATGTCACAGTCCTCAGACTAACTACTTAATTCTATCATTGCAGTTCTTTAGAGCGGCTCAGTGAGTCTCAAAGCACCAAAGAGGCTATGACCAGTTTGCCAACCAGAGATAATAGTTCCACCTGTGGCTTTGTCGTACAAATGTGTCCAATAGCCCAGAATATGAGACGGTGTGGACTGACTGTTCTTCGATTGTGCTGACTGTGCTGAACTGGCCACTTGTTTTCTGCAAATATGCTTTCCTGTTGTTTTAGGCTGCATCCAAATGCATAACATGTGGCCACTTGTGTACACTGCTAGTGTAAACAGGAAGCATTGGTTTTTAGCTACAGAAAGAGCAAGGCTACAAACAAGGAACAGCAATTGCAAGCAGTTGTATTATTTTATGATGCAGAATTGAACTGCTCAACTGCTGTTAGCAAAGACAACAGGGTCAGCAATGCTTGTAAGTGATTATCCATTTCACGTCCTACACAAGTAGCTTAGACATTTTCTTGAAGTCATGTGATAGGAGCCTGTGATAGGAGTAAAGGCCACGCCTGAAATCTTCAATCAGCAAGTGGTTTTGAGTAAATACGACATTGTTCTCAACCGTCTCATATGTTGAATGTGTCTATTTGCACATACCCATGATTGTGGTATGTATAGAAGTGCATGCATATCTGTCTGACCAGGAATATGATCAGTCTTATGGAAACTTTCTTCACAGTTCCATCCTAGCTTTCAGCACCAGTACCACAGTACAGATCTCCCCTCATCTGCATGGGCACCAGTGGAAGCAGGGAACTGTCCATGGTGCTGAACTGTAGGCCTGTTGATACAAGCTCACAGTTTACTGTTGAATCCACTATAAGCAGGAAATATCCATTCTACTGCCATGTTGTTTACCTCTTAATGTAATGAAATCAATTAACTAGGAAAAATCGAATAACTCACCCTTTGTGCTTTTTGTTTGTGACGGTCACAGTCGCTGATCACAGACTACTACAATTTTCTCCGCTTCCCAAGAATCATTGCAGCTGCAATTAAACCCTTCTCCTGTATCTGCAATCTCTTTGAACCTATGCTCCCCTTTAATTTCACTACGTTTAGTGGGAGCATGTATTTACTGTAGCTTTAGCTTCAAGAAGAGACACAGCTTTCACTGGGAAAATGTCTCTCTGTGGTTTGAATTACACATTAATCGTTGACATGTTTTATTTGTTGTGATAGAATTGTAAAAAATAATGAGTTTAATATTCGGCAAGACAATCTTGTTACTAATTAGCCCATAATCATGCCACCCAAACATCTATGGTCACAGGATTCGGATCACATGACCTGCTATCCAAACTAAGCTCTTAACACAGTTGGTGCCACATTTCATTGATTCAGCCAACGCTAACCGTGCCCCTTCTCTCTGCAGCTGACGTCTGCATAAGCCCTGAGCGTAGCTCAATCACTGGCACTTGGTGGAGCGCATAACCTACTGCTGACACCATTTCTAATTCGCGCATTCTCCATGCTTATTCCAATATGCAGTGGTGTTTATCATCAATAAGCACAGCGTATCTCCATTCTCCACCAATCCCCATTTCCACATTTCAGCCTGCAGTCAGTGTGCAGGATGCATGTGCAATTGGTTTTGTATGAGTCAGAGTAATGTTTGCTGATATGGAGATTTACAGGAGGAGGTGACTGAGGCTGACAGATGAAATTAAGGTATAAGCAGGTTTTTGTGTTGGAGTGTTGGCTCCAGATATAAGGACTGTTTACACATCTCACACTCTATTTGATTTTGATTTGGCTATTGGATTTGTTTTTGTCTTTTTACAGCAATAGTAGCTGTAATAAAGTTTATTTATGTAGCACTTTTACAGCAGCTAAAGAGCTTTCTAAACGAAATAAGGGCCTCTTTGTGTGTTAAACACTCGTGTGTTTTGATGATTGGATCTAAGGCTTTAGTGTATGTGTGTGTGTGTGTTCATTCATTCAGGTGGACCAGCAGCTTTCTCTCCTGGTAACCTGAGCACCAGCAGCAGCGCCAGCAGCACCCTAGGGAGCCCCGACAATGATGAGTACATCCTGTCCTTTGAGACCATCGACAAAATGCGAAGGGTGTCCTCCTATTCTTCCCTCAACTCTCTCATAGGTAATTCAAATCAATTCAATTTTGTTACACATTCATTTCTAACTAAATGTGCAAGTTGAGTCTACTGGTCATGATGACACAATTGAACACTGTCTGACAAAATAACCCTTGATAATGTCATAGTGATGTCATTTAGCTTCAAATGGCAGAAACAGTTTGAAACACATGAACATTACCTGTAGGGTTGGTTTCAATCAATCAATCAATCAATCAATCAATCAGATTTTATTTGTTTAGTCCATATTCACAAATCACAGTTTGCCTTATAGGGCTTGATAAGACATGTCTGTCATCAACCCTCAACAACAGTAAGGAAAAAAACGCATTTACAACACTGATTAAAAGAAATAGTTTTTAGCATAATGGATAGGTGTGTCAGTTTTTTCAAAAGTATTTATACATGGGAACAGTCTGATAGAGATGAAAGGAGCAGCAATGACTATTGAAATGGAGGAGTTATGATCTGTAACGGTCATAGTCCTTATCAGCCGTGACCATGATGGTGATCCACCACCACAATCCACAATCCAAAGTCACAAACCACCAGCATGATCACGATCTATCACCATTATCCATTTCTGAAACACTTTTTATTTTATTTGTTAGTCGTCTGCAAAAAAAACAAGAGCGGGTGTCTGTATTGGATTTTTCTAGCCCACGAGATCCTGAAACAGGCAGCAGCTGATTTCAACCAAAAAAATCAAAACCATCTGATGAACCCACAGTACTTAACCAAAACTGATCAAAGTCAGCAATTACCTAGCAAACACTGATGAAGCATCTAGCAAAATTAAGAGCCACTTTCTGAGGAGCTACAAAGAAAAATGATGATGAATCAGCAACACAACAGTAAATCAATATAAATGCAGCTTTGTGAGGGCTTTGTGTGTGTGTGTAACCAGGCTAGTGTTTGCTAACATGTTAGCCTCATCAACTATTAATTCATTCATGATGTCATCATAATATAAATTTTGCATGATGTTTCTCTCCTGTGAGCAGCATGCTAATTGCTCATGTAGCGGTTGGTATCAGCTTCAGTTATGTAAATGTAGTCAGTAGGGTGATTACTGCAGGCTGCAGTCTGTAGCTGGGGCAGGTTTGCATGGTTCAACACATAGAAGCCCTTATCCCTCCCATGAGGGACTGCACCTTAGAGAAAATTCCGTGTAAAAACCACCATTTCAAAGTGCTGCCACTAGAGAGACAGACCTCGAGTTGGGGCACCCAAGAGAGGGTGGAACCCCTCAAACGACAGCAAGGACAGGCAGAAAAGCTCAGTCCAAGAATAGAAAAGTGTGAATAAGGTTTTAGATGTGTAAAGCACAGCAGAACTGAGGGTGGGAAAAGGGGCTTTTAAGTGCTTTTCCTCGTACACACGCTGAAGTTGAACCGGCTCACTTACCAGGGCTCCCAGGTGATTGGCGGGCTCCACCATGCGTCCTGACAGCCAGCGTGTGTGCAACCAGGAAAACCATTAACTCACTTCCACTATGCGGAAAAAGGGGAACGTGAAACTGGTGGTTCCCATTTTTCTACCTTTCTCTTTTTTTATTGTTTTATTTCAAGTTACAAATGTCTCGTAATCTCCCAGCAGCCCTGGCATGACCCACTTTGTGCTTTTTGTTTAGTTTTTCCTTCTTTTTTTTTGGGTGGAAATGCAGGAGGGAACTAAATTTAACTAGGCATGGGTTAGATATAGTGAGATGTCCTTTTGATTTGTTGCTTAAATGAAACCCACTCTAATCCAGGTGTACCTGACCCAGTCAATCTCACCATCAATATTGAGGAATCAGCCTAGTTTAACCTTTAACTCAGTTTGCTGGATAAATCTGTGCAGAATTACATATTTTCCTGTCGCTTATTTCCTTTTACTCTCTACCTTTTCCCTTTATATCAGACACATCAGCTCAGTTTTTTATAACTAATCCAGAGTTAATCAAGCTCGGACTAAAGCTTGGCCCTGTTGGTCATCTCCAATAGGATGGTTCTCTAGTGGTGTCCAGATAACATGGGACATCAAAGCTTAGAAATAAAAGACAGGAAGAGACAGCAATAAAAACAACCCAGCAAAGAATTCTCTATCATACCCTTTATCAGAAAAATTTAGCTTTCAGCGTTTCATTAAACCCTTTTCAAGCTGCTTGTTGGCCGTAGTGGCATGAGGTACCTGTGTAAACATGTTAAAAGACATATTAGCCCCCCTGCCTTCTAAGCTGTGCCCCCATCACAGCCTCACTGCACACTTGTATATAACTCCCACCTCGCTGAGGGCTGCATGTATAAACAAGCAGGGCAGAGCTCATAAATGGATGCTGGTAACAGTATTCAGCAGCATAAAGAAAAAAGAAAATTTGCTTCAGTGCAGTGGCAGTTGCGTTTAATCACAAACAAGGCTCTGAATAATGTGGAGTATATCACTGAGCTCCTTACACCACACCATCCAGCAGGCCCCTCTTTTCAGTTAGTCTGCATCTTCTAACTTCTCCAGATTTCAGGTCATGTATCCTGTGGGGACCATGAATAACTGCACCAAGGGTTTTTCAGCCCGTCTAGTAGATGTTGAGATATTTTTAGTATTTCTAACATTAAAGTTGACTGGTGGTACTGGATCAAAGTTAGTGGATCCCCAGTATTCATCTGGTATCAGTGGATTAATCCTGAGATGAATCCTGGAAGATGAATGTTGATAACAATGTGGGAGCCACACATGAAGACATAATGAGCTTCCAACCTTTTCTACAGTTGGGCTCTTCCATCCATCCAGGGTTTTGTTTACCTGGTGAAGTCCGTGTCAGCACTGTCTACTTGCAAAGCATATAGCCAACCCTCCACAGTCATTCATTCTCTGATAATTGCGCCAAATTTTACATCCAATCCATAAGTGTAATCCTCACTTGAGCACGATATCAAGGTCAGAGAATCATCCCAGTCAGTGGGATTCGTCACCTGGTCACCATGAATATCTGTACAGAACTTCATGGCCATCAAAGAGTTAATGAGATTATTTTATAATAATTCATAATTTTTGTTATACTGTAACTCAGACATTTTCTGTATCTGCATTAACATTTTTCTCACATCAAGGGCTGATGTTAACTTCTACCTATGTCAGTGTTTTTGAAGCTCTCTCCCATTTAAAGAGCATCACAGGTGTAATACTGCGTTCATCGCCCTGTGAAATAAATACAAAAAATAGGCCTCATAGAAGAGTTTGGTCTCAACTGTTTTTGATGCATTTTTTTATGCCTCAAACATTTAAAGCTCCAAAACTCACGATGCAGAGTTAAGAGTATTTTATGTCATTTGCCTGAACTGAGGAGGCCGTAAAACAGTGATGCAGTGTTTCATTTAACTTATATGTTAAAATCTTTACTACTGTACATCCATTTCACTCTGCTCAAGTCTTAGAGTGATGCAAGTGTCAAGTCAGGACAAGCCACTGGTGCAGCGCCAAGCCAGTGAGTAATACCCACTGTCATGTGGACGACATAGAGGCGGTCCAGGGGTAATTTGTGTGTACCCGTAATGTAGCGCAACGGTTATATGGGAGAGGAACTGTATATCACATCTATCAACTGGCTGTTTACTGAAGCAGCTAGTGCACTGGCTAGCTGTCGCTAATCACATCCTGCCCCTCAGGCTACAACCTGATCACCTCTTTAACTCACTCTGACTCTTTCTCCCTCGGTTACCTGTGCCCTCTCTTTCTCCCTTCTCTTGGGTTCTATCTTTCTCTGTGATCCTCCTCCAGCTCTTTTTGTCTTTTTGACCCATCTCTGCCGTACCTCAGAGCACGCAGGAAATATAGGGGTCCTGTCTGTTTATAACCTTTCTCCATGTTGCCTCTTTCTAGCCGTTCCTCAACTTTTCCAGTTTAGTTACGTATCTCTCCAGCTGTAGCCCTTGTATTCTCCTCCATTCTAGGAATCTTCACTTGTTGGTCTCTTATCTTTGAAGCTTTGGACCAGTGAATGCCTTTTGGTCTCTCTGCAGAGGAGTCTGAGCTTTTAGAGGTTCCAGGTTTAAATCAGTCCCTCATCCCTACAACATCCCAGGGGTTTTGCAGCACTCATGGGAAGGTGGGTAACAGGGCAAAGGTGTAGGAAGATGATGAAAAATAAAATGAGAGGTCATTCTCAGAGGTCAAGTTTATATGACCACCCTGAATGAGAGTAAAGATCAGCGAAGAAGGAAAGGGAGGATGAAAACAGAAAAGCAAAGAGAAAGAGAGACAGCAACAGTTGTAGATTATTACAGTTCAGTGTCCCCACAGCTGACACAGAGGGAGAAGAGAAAGACCACAGATTGAGGAAAAGTGATGGAGGCTCAATGCACTGCAGTGGCAACATGTTGAACAAGTAAAAGCCCCAAATTAGGAAGAATGTGTGGTGGAGAAGGAGGAGGATTGTTGCAAACAATGAGTAGTGTGACTGGCAGGTGGAGGAAAGTATCAGAATTAGCTCTTATTGCCAAGCAGGTTTACACATACAAGGAATTTGCTGTGGTGTATATGTGTATAAGTATAAAGATAAAAGAATATAAGAAAGGAAACAAAAATTTAATTTAAAAATACTATGAGATGAGATTGATTGATGTGCAATATATTGTAAGTAAGCACGAGAGGCAGGGACATCAGTGCAGTGCAATGACAGGGTCCCAGGCCTTGATGAGAGGGAGAAGAAAGAAGTAAACATGGAGGACATGGAGGGTCAAAATCCTACGTTTAAGTATAAACTGGAGAGTGTAACTGAAGTGTCACTACAATGGAAAGCTGAAGACAAGAACAGATGAGCTAAACCAGAAGGAGACGCTTGGTTCATTTGTATTCATGATAACAGTTATAATTGACAGCAATGAAGCTCTGTGGATGAGGAGAGCCAGCTGCTTGTCGTGTGTGTGTGTGTGTGTGTGTGTGTGTGTGTGTGTGTGTGTGTGTGTGNTTATATTAGTTGTGTTTAAGTTCGAGGGGAGCCAGTTTTCTTAAATATGACAGTTATGAGAGACCAGAGTGGTGTGGCACCACCCATAGTGACCGGTTTGTCTGTCTGACAACGATGTCAACGCCCCTCAGTGGTGATGAATGAGAAGTTATTCACTTAAAGGTAAGAATAATACAATTATGATCTAAACCTGGCTAAAGACCATTGTGATGATTACATCTAGGGGGCACCTGGCATTGTATTGTATTCTTTGTATTCCATGTATGTTTTGATTATTTATTTGATAAATAGTTTTTTGGTAATTGATTATTATTATGTTATAAGTACATGCCTATGTAGAGGTGTTGAAACTATTTTATAAAGGCCAGGGTAAAGGATGAGATTATAGACAAACTTACTTTTTCACAGGAGACTGAAGTTCCGGCCACAATGATTAACAATTGCATTTTCATTAACTTAAGTAGTTGACTATGCATGTGTACCTTTAAAGAGCTTAGCATGTAGCATTCCGCTGCTTCTAATTCCATGTGGTTTTGCTGGTGGGAAGGTAATGCAAGTGGTCTCTGGGGAACGTAGTATCTCCGAGGAGATAAAAGAATTGTTAAAACGGAACTTCATGCCAGCTGTAATTGTTGTTTATAGAAAAGGCCAAATTTCGCCCCAATTGTCTCATTTGCTTTTTCAGGTCATAAAGAGGCAGCAATATTAAAATGAGACTGTTTCATAACCAGGTACAAACTCCTTATACAGGCTTTAAAGACTGGTTTAAAATGTTCATGTGCATCAGTGTCTTAAATTCCACATTGTCTGCAGCTTTGACCACCATATCCACACGTATTTACTCTGCCATGCACAGTAGCACTGTCATGTTTTCAATGCTATAATAATTTATAACAAGTCACCTGTAAGGGCAATTTATGCCCTTATGCCCCTTGTGTTTGAAAAACAATGATCATTAGTTACAAAGGATGTTGGCAAATTTAATGTTTCTTTATACGTTTGTTGATCTGGTGGTCCATCTGAAAATAATATCGTTATTAATTAGATATTAAAGCTCAAGTGTGGTATATTTAGGGGCGTGTCTGTTTGATTGACACAGAAACTCACGATTGATTGACAGGCAGTAGGAAAACACTGGAGCTTTATTTACATCGTGTTCACTCAGTTGTGTTATATTTATCCTTTTTCTGTCATTATTTGTCGGTGGAGAAGGTTTTTTATGCCAGCAGGTTTAGAAGAAGAAGATACACTTTTATTGTCACGTTTAACACTTTTTACATGTATACATGAAATTGTTCTCCGCATTTAACCCATCCAGTTGGCACCTGGATGAAACACACATTGACAGATGCCATGTACACATATATACTGGAGCGGTGGGCTGCTGTTGCCAGCGCCCGGGGAGCAAATGTTGTGGGGGGCGGTGCCTTGCTTAAGGGCACCTCGGGCGTGGCGAGCGGGAGCGGGGATCGAACCGCCAACCTTCTGGTTATTGGACGACCTGCTCTACCGCTGAGCCACAATTCAATTTCTGCCAATAGTTCCCTTTCACCTAAATCTTACACACTGGACCTTTAAGTCATTAAGAAGAGGAGTATCAACTAATGTTCTACACTGTGATGTGATAGGGTGTTCTAATCGACTTATTTGTTTCTGTATGTGTATTTCAGTGCTTTTTCACCACATGCTTATGCAGTGAAAAATATCCATCTCCAGCGCACACACCCCTCCCTCCCACTGGCATTTTCTCCCACCAAAAGGCCATTACTTTTGTGCAAATGCAATTAAGAGCCAATGACTCCCCGAGGCTTGGCAGAGCAGAGCAGAGGAAAGAGGCTGCTGTAACTTTAGGAGCCATAGTAACCACTGTAGTCCATCACCCATACTAACCCCAAAGCAAAATGTCTCCTGTTTTCCACCACTGACACCAGTTGTCCCCTCAGTTACCTTCAGACGAGTAGCATCTCTGCAATGAGACTCCACACTGGACTGCAATAAAAAACAAAAGGAATTGATATACAATATATTGCAATAAACTCTTCTTGTGCCAGCTAATGCACCACACTGCCTGTGTGGCTCTGCAGCACGCTTTGCAGTCTCTGAACCTGCAGAACCATAGTTAGGTGTTATATTTGTAAAAATGAGCACTCAACGTTCATAAACAACAAACTGATTTTCTTTTCTTGAATTTTCTTAAATGACTGGAGATTTGGACTCTTCTCAGTCGGTACTTGACTTGTTTTTGTCTCCTTTGACTTGACTGTTAACTTCAGTTTCTTTCAGTAGACTAGATACTCGTCTCATTTGACATGAGACGTTGATTGAGAGACTTGTCGTGACTGAGTTATTTGTTTCTTTTGGTTTAAGACTTGACATTAAACTGTCTCTCTTGACTTGGGACATAACGTGCTTCCACTGGCTTCATTCTTGGTTTGGACATGTGGGCATGTCGTACCAGTGTCATTTTTTAAAACAGGAATAAAGCATTAAGCTTTCTGTAATAAATTGTGTAAACCTTTTAATGCTTTAGTCTCTAAAGGTTATGAGGTATCACAGAGGGAGCCTGTATTCATTTTGTTTCTTGCAGAGAGCCTGTGAGCGGCAGCTTAATCAAAGTCTATTCATCCCAAGTTCACAAGTGTTAACAGTAGCCTATCTGGGAATTCAGCATTTTTAATTAGGATTTTAAATGTCAAATGCTATTGATTTGTTACAAAGCGAACAAGGTCAGCAGCTAATTAAAATGTACTTCTCAGATGAAAGCATTAAATTCTTTTTTTAATAGGTCCATCTTGCTGCATGATGCTGGGATAAAAGTCATGTGTCCATCTTTTTTGTTTGTGTTATTTTAGTGTGTTGAGTTTCAGGAGAAAAGAAGCTTCATACTTTTTATGGCTCTCCACCCACAGTTTAAGTCTTTCCTGTCCCGTTCTTGTGAAAGTGATATCTCTGTAGTGCCTTCAAAGCATTTCTTCAAGTGAGGCTCCGAAGAGCAGATATTAAACATGCTCTCACCACAAATTTAAAAAGCAGCCTCTGTTTATATGTTTAAGAAACTGCTCAAAACATAACATTAAATCACCACCTGAGAATGTCTGTCAGTCCGATATGCTGCTGCACTGCTGTAGTTTATTTCACAAATGTGGAAGAAGAAAGAATCTTCCAGTGAAGGCCCAACGGCCACTGACTGCAAGGCATTGTTTACCTATTTATTCACACACTGATGAATATTGATTATATGATGTGTCTAAAGTTGACACTGCACTTCCTCGGGCCATTAGGAATACACAAGTGTCGACCTGATAAGATGAATGGTTCCACAGACACACAGACAGACATTTGTGGAATTAGTAGGTGAGTTATGTACCAAGTATTTGAGACATGCTCCAACCACAGCAAAGAAAAGCAACCTCTTATCTTATGTTTAAGGAACTTCTCAAAACTTAGTTTTATATATTTTTGCTTTTGATCTATTAAATTCTTGTCTTTTCCATTGATTGTAATCTTAACATTGCTTATCATGATTTTACAGTTCTGATGTCTTCCAATAATATTACATTTAGTAGAAATTTTCACTCAGGGACTCAGGTATGAACTGATTAGTTTTTCGGTGTTCAAAGATCACTGGTACCTCACAGATCCACTTTTTGTCTGACAACATACACTCAATACATTTTATTCACATCATAGTTTCCACAGAGATGGATGTAAAACGTAAACTGATTGACGGAGATGTAGAACTTTATTGCATCATGAGGGGAGATTATAACTTGAGAAGCCGGCTTCATAATTTATAACTTTCTGATACAGACCTGTGACTTGACTTGATTGATTTTAGCCTTGAAGACAATTAATGATACTAAACATGAAACTATTTCCTTTAACTTGACACTTTACTTTTTTCAACTGCTTTTACTATAGACTTAGACTCGTCTCAATTGACTTGATACTTAAATACCTAAACTTTTCTCCACTTAAAGGGCGTTGAATTGAAGTTGCTTTGATTTGCTTGAATGTTCTTGAACCATTGGAGAGTTTGACTTCTCTCAGATGACCTGCTACTTGACTTGTTTTCATCTCGTTTGACTTGACACTTGGGTGAAATAGATACTTTTTTGAACTTACTTACTCAGACAGAGATGTAAATTGTGACCTGAATAATCAAATCAAACAGGTCCATTCAGACCATTAGTTTTCATATCCCTTTATATGTGCATGCATGCACACATTTTCCAGCCAGTTGAGGATTGAGGTACTGAAGGAAAATGGGTTGAGACTGGACACAGTCCCCCGTCCCCCGCCCCTTTTTGCACATAACATTTTCTGAAAAGCTTGTCAGCAGATAAGGCACTTGGCCTCCTGTGTTAGCGTGATGTTTGTTTACGACATGTTGGCGTTTAGCAAAGGTTGATGAATAATTCATGAACTTTAGACCAATGACCTTGCAGCTTTCATGACAGTGTCTGGTAAAAAGGTGTCTACTGTGATCTCTGCTGCTTGAAAACACATACAGTGAGATTTTGTGACCTGCAACAGAAAATATGTGGATGTAAACAGATGCACGCTGACACTGAGGGAATAAACCTTTGACCTTTTAGAATAGTACAGGCTTGATAACCTCTCATCTCAAAGATCCTTTTGTATGTGCTTTTCCCAGAGTATAGCTGCTGCCACTTTCTAACTCTCAGGATTAATGCTGCAGTGTCGGGCTCAGTTCTGTCATTAGAAATGTAGAAAAAGTTCTGTATATTGCTCAGTTCTTTATCTGTCTTTTTTTATGTCTTTCTCATCATATTGATTTTGTGCTTGAGTAGAAAATGTACTTAGATTAGTGACAGAGCTATTTCCATAATAACCCTGTTAGCTGCTATTTTGTTTCATTTCCAGTTGCTTCTTAAGGAAGCACCCCCAGCAAAGTTTAGTGATTGCTGTCTTTTCACAATCACAAATGCTGTAGATAAACTTTGCATGAAAAAACTTTTAGACCCTCACCACAAACAAAAGATACTTGCCGCAATCCTGCAATTAGCACAAAAATCAAGTTAAAGGCAATCCCAGCTAGTAAAATGTATTTGCCTGCGATAACCACATTTACTTCTACGAGTTTCTCTCCAACTGAGTAAACAACAACTCTGCTATTCATCAGTGACGCTTTGCCTCTGTTGTCTTTATTAAGTTTACCCCTCCCTTGTGAGCAGCCATTAGACAACTCGCAATGAAGAGGTTATATTACCTTCTCCATTTAATAAGATCAAGTTCTGGAAATGTAGTCAAACTGTACTTTCTAAAGTTCTTCCCACTTTTTGTGGACTACCCTGATTTGGGATATTTTATTACATATAGGTGAACTTAACCCATTCTGTTTCCCCTCAGGCAACGATGAACGCTCGACCTCAGAGAATCCTGGAATCTGGCTCTCTCACCCAGTCGGCTCCAGCCAGCCCTACCAGCAAGGGCACGCACATTCATCAGGCCGGGTGAGGGAACGTGTCTCACGCGCAAGAATTTCCTGATATACGTGAAACTCATTTAAGTGCAAGAAACCACAATTCACTACTTGTTTCATTATATAGATGGGATATTAACAAGGACATGAGATCAAAGACAGAAACTAATGAGATGTAAAGACCAAAAAAAAGATGGAACAGAATCCTCGTTAACACATTAAACTGTACATGTAAGAACAGTCAACATCTGTGTCACTGATATAGTCAAAGAACCTTCATCCTTTACGTTATATAAGTGAAGGATGAAATACAGCTTCCATAAAAGCAGAATGTAAATCCCTACACGTGTGTATCCCACTCCTCTGTCAGGCCCTTGATGTGGTCAAAAAGTATTTAGTCTTATGCTTCATTCATAGTCTTGTTCTCTCTCCATTCAAAAATAATATTGTATGCTTGTGATTATACAAATGTCCAACCTCTGCCTTTGTATCTTAATTGTCTTTTGTTCATTTACGTGTTCCCACAGTGGGTCTCCGCCCATGCCCAGCACCAGCAGCTCCAGTCTGACCAACGAGGTGCCCAAACCCCCCGCAAGAGAGCAGCCAGCCACACGGCCCCCCTACACCCCAACACTGGGAGGACAAGCACCCCACTCCCACCAGTTCCCCCGCACTCGCAAGATGTTTGACAAGGGACCAGAGCAGGTAAAGGAATTCTTCTGATCAAGAATGTGTAGCTCAGCGAGTGTGTAGATAGCATAAGCTTTAACCAACAGCAACAATGTTCAGAAGTTGAAGTTAGATTCAAAATAGAGAGATTAGAGATTAAAGCTAGTAAGAGTAATACTGTTGAGCTACTTGCCATAGAGGAGAGTCACCAGTGCAGCCCAGTGAGAGGCTCCCCGCTCTCTGTCTCACTCACTCTCTTCAGTGAGTGTCAGAAAGGTGGAGCAGACCGAGGCTTCTGTCTCTTCTAACTTTCTCTCTGAGTGATCATTTATTATGTAACTATATACTGTAGCTAAACTCACAGCACAGCCATTTTTAAATTACAGTATATGTGATCACATAGATGAGGAGAATATGAATATGCTAATTTGAGTATTAGCGGGTATTCGAGCAGGATTTAGCTACTTTCCATTTAAAGTAGTTGTTAAAATTGATTCCGCAGCAGTTTTCAACTATGTTCTTGATTTCACACATTGACCAAATAAGGTCCAGCTACATTCTACAGTAGATTTGACCTGGTCTTGTTTTTGTGTGTGCACAGGCAGGAGAGGACGGTGATGAGCCGGGTGGTCACAGGAACTACATCAGTGCTGCCCTCCAGACGGGCTTGTGTGATTGGAGTGCAAAGTATTTTGCTCAGCCTGTCATGAAGGTAGTGTCCCTCACACCTTTGTCTCTCCTCGATTTTTCCACCTATTATTCCTTTTTTCCATCTCTGTCTCCACCTCCCGCTCACTCCTTCCAGTTTTCCTTAATCAGTTATCAGTTGTTCATCTGAGTCAGATAGAGGCATTTTGTGTCCATGTTGTTCTTGTGAATTCAGCAACAAGCCATAAAGTTTTGTTTCAGTGTGATAACAAGGCAGCACATCAGCTGAGTTATTGCTTTGATGAAATGCAAATAACACATTATCAAATTAAAAAAGAAAAAGAGCAAATCCATCTTTTTTTAATCAACAAACAATATATTCACATTATTACTCTGCCAAGCAATCTAGGTCTTGATCAGCAGCTTAAAGCGGTTGCTAAGCAACAAAGACATCCTGATACTGTATGGACAGTCATTTTAAATTTTCACGTACATATTGATGTGATGTCATGGGTGTGCTGGTCATGCATTTTACAATAGCTGCAGGAGTCACAGTCATCTGAGGACATGAACTCTGTAACAGAGAATGTGTTTAAAAAATAATGAAATCCTATGAAAAACAGCAGGGAAGGCACCGATCTCAGTGTGAGAACGTACCTGCTGCTTGTACAGATGAATAATGGAGCTCTGTGAGCTCCATAACGTCCTCTTGAGTGAAATTGAGTGAAGATTTAAAGAAGTACTTTTTTACAAGGCACAGTGGTGGGTGCCAAATTATATTATATTAAATCAAGCTTCCATCTGTTTAAAAACTCTAAACATGCCATTCTCTCGGGGACATGATGAAGTAAAGCAAATGTTTTCAGGGCATTGTGTTGGGGTTAAACAAAGATGGAGAGCATCATTAAAAAGAGTCCAGCATGAGGGTCAAACAGAGGAGAAAAAAGAAAGTTTTGAAGAAGAAAGAAAAAAATGAGTAAGAAAAGTATTAGATATTCATGTGGGTATGAGACAGTGGCTGATACAGAAAGAGAGTGTATAGAAAAGTAGATTTTAGTCAAATAAAATATTTACAACACAGACGTTTGGGGCAGAAAGAGGACGAAGACTATGTGTGAAAGAGTGAGAGAGAGTGCACAAAGAAAAAAGTAAGAGACGATGGAAGTAAAATATTTGAAGAGAACGGACATTGATGGGCAGATAGAGGAGTAAGAGGAAAAGCAGAGTAGTTGAACATATATAAAGTGTACAAAGGGCATGGTGAGGGGATGAACAGTAAACGAGCCAGAAGTGGCAACAAAAGGTGATGAAAAGAAGAGAGATGATTGGATGGGAAGGAGGAGAAAGAGGAGAAGGAGGAGAGAGGTTTTGCTGTAGCACAATTCAGAATGCTGTGTTGGCAAAAAATTTGAGTGCTGCCATAAAATTCCACTCCATTACAAAGCCCTATGTGTGTGTGAGTGTGTGAGGATGCCTCAAAAGTCTGAAGGCAGGTTATCATATCACTGTGTCAGCAGTGTGTGTGAGTGTGTGTGAGAGAGTGAGTGCATGTGTGCGTGCATTTCAGAGCGCCTGTGTATCTCCATCTACAATAATCAGCTATTCGCACCTACAGCCTTAAGAGAGTGTGAGGGGGAACAGGAGTCGCACACAGCCACAGGAAGAAGATGCATTGATACAAACAGAGCTCAGTGCATCAGCCCTTCCTCAAAGTGGCTCCTGGTCCCTGTCATCACTGAAAATATTTCCAGTTGGATTTATTATCATATGTGGTACACTGTCCTGCCTGTTAATGTGTTGTGACAGGAAGGTGTGGTCCCGATTCAGACGACACATCTAATATGAACAAAATACGAATGTTCATATGCAGCTTTCAACCAAATGCAGCCCTTTGGTTGATACAATGCGACACAAAGCTTTGTGTAGACATCTCTTTGCCAAACCAGTGTGCACATTTCCCAAAATGCAGCAATAAGTGTGTCTAATTATAATGGTTTTTTGGTAAAGTTTTGGTTTATACTAGTACAGTGCCGGTTCTTAACCAGTTTGAGTGATTCACTGTTTTCTTTTATTAATTTTTCATACATTACATGTTTGCTATTTCAGAGGTTTTTTTTAGCAATGGACGCAATCTTCACACCCCAGTACTGTACACATACACAGTATGTATACAGGTACATATATGTAAATCACAGTTCTCAAGGCTTTACAATTTATTTTCAATTTGTTGATAATTCACACTTCAACATACTTATACCAATACAAAAATAAACTTTCTAACGACAAACAAATGATGAAATAAATTATTTTTTCAAGGATAGGTGCACAAATGACTTTCTGACTTATCTTTGTAATATTATTCGTCGCCTTGAGCAATAACAGTTGACTATTAGCAGCATGCATCATCTCAGTTCCTTGAAACTGAAGCAGAAGTGCTGAATAGAGATGTCATTTATTTACTTATTTCCATTTCATTATTAGTTCGGGAAGTAAATTAAATGGTTTTAACCTTTAACAAGTCAAACAAAAGTCAGTTAACACACTTCATATTAGTAAGGGAAAGAAAAAGAAAAAGTAAATATCAAATCATAAAATAAAATGTTGCCAGGAAATCATAATGAAGTTAAGTATACTATTAGGTTTTTCCCGGCTGAAAATATGGCGTGGGTGGTATTTAGACATATACCAAGCCTGGGGCAGACACCCAGGCAGCCACACACAGCTCCACAGCCCTAGGCAAAGTGCACAAAGCCGGGGCACAGACCCAGGGACCCTGGGAAGCTCCTCTTCACGGACCAGAGTGCACACAGCCCGGCCACAGCACCATCAAGCCCATGGCAGACACCCAGGGAGCCATGCACAGCTCCACTAAGTCAGCTTACAGTGATCATTTTGGGTCTTTTTGTAGATGTTTGGACCATCAAAAGTTTTTTTTTACAGTGTTACCACTTCTGTCAGTGATTTACTGCTCCTCTCTGCAAATCTGAATTCGATGTTGCAATTTTCTGTGCAGGAAAAACCCTGACCATGATATTTTTAGGGTCATGCGCTTCAAACTATTTATTAACACTTTGGTCAAAAGACCTGTCTTTGTCAACAAGACTCAGCTTCTTTTGAAAAAGCAAATGGTTTTCATATGGTGTGAAAGCACGATCAGTTCCTCAAACTCACCAGACACAAGGTCTTCCAAATTGTTGTAGAAAGTTTCCACAAAAGAGTGGAGCGAGGAGAGAGATGATTAACAATCACATGCAGTACTTGCATTGTGCTTGGTTGTCCACATACTTTCGGCCATGTAGTATGCCAGCGATGTGAAGTGTGAAGAGCTCTGCGGACATTGTTTGCATAAATCTCTCCCTCTCAAACACCACTTACACACACAGACTTTGGTTTACCTCAGGGTCTCATTATGTGTTACATCAGAGGTTGGCACGGTGCAGGACCACAACCCTGGAAACCGCTGTATCAGCTGCTCCCTACCTTGGTATACACACTTACGCATACACACACACACACACATCTGTGGGAATATGTCAACCTCCGTCTGACTGCGAAATCTGCCTCCTACCAGTTTCAGTCAAGAGCTTCAAAGCCTGAGAGACCCTTTGTGATATACAGATAAATACGACTTGACTACACACACTTAGAAAAACACAATCTGTCCACTCAACATCTCAGATGGAAGTATATTTTTTCACGAGCTCCCTCAGAGGTGTTAAATGTTGTTTTCCTATAAAGCAACATGCACAGAGTGAAGACATTAGAGGAATACTGATCACACACACCGTAAAATCACATGGCAGGCACCACACACACATACGCACTGATCGCTCAGTATAACAGAATGTTGGCTAAACTGCCTACTACAACCTTTCCCTGTTGTGTGCGTGTTTGTGTTTGTGTGTGTCGGACTGTTTAAAATTCAGTGGGCATGGGATGCATCGCTGCAGAAATGTGCTTAATAAGCACACTGTGGCAACCAGCATCTAAACACACACACACACATAACTATGGCTCTTTCTGCTATTTACACTTTGTGTTTATTTATTCAAATATGCATCATGATGGAAAAGTCCTATTTTCAATTTTGCTACTTTAATACTTTTAGCAGAAATGTCTTCCTTCAAAGGGAGTCAATCTGTACTAGTAAAATAAAGCTGGCAGAAAATCTGTGTAGGTCGTGTTGTTACACAAGACTTGATAAAGTTTCCACGCTCTGCTCGACAGATGTGATCAGATGTGACTGCATGAAGTGAACTTGACACCTTGACTCATTATCTGAGTCTGAGCTCCACTCAGCATTGTAATTAGATAATCCAGGCCTGTGCTATGATTAGAAAAGTCGTCAGGGAGATCTATAGTCTCAGTTGTGGAACATATTGTGACTCTGAGCCATAAAGAAATAGTTCACAATTTTGGGAAATATACGTCTTTCTTTTCTGTGAGAATAAAACTGTCAAAATACATATCAATCTTGTGCCTTTGTGTTTAGTCTTAAGCAGGGTCAGGTTTTAGTTAGCTTAGCATAAAGACTAGAGGCAGAGGACAGAGCTAACATGGCTTCATCTACACACACATTCAACTAGAAGGGCAGTCAGAGAACACACACTACCCTCTATCTAGTGATGTAAAAGAAAGTGAAAAAGAATTCCTGGATCTGCCCTCTGATCCACATCTGGACCAAAATTGGGTTCTTCCCTGAGCATCCTTCCACCAAATTCCATTGTAATCCGTCCAGTATTTTTTATGTAACTCTGCTAAATAGCAAAGAAGCAAATGCTAATGAAAATATTGAAAAACCTCATTTGTGGATTTAGCAGACGTGAACTGCTGCACATACATCTTGGTAAACAACATCGTAGTTGAAGTTGGTCAGTTGATGACAATTGTCTGAGCTAAAGTTCGGAACACAGAGGTGGTCACATTCAAAGAGATGTTAAGGGAGGAAGGCTGTGAGCCGATATAAACCAATTAAGTATGAGAGCTAGACACTCGTGGTACTACAACTTAGAATACTTGTAAAACCAAAGAGCATTTCCTCACAGTCCAACGTTATGAACAGACAACTGTAAAACCCTTTGTTTCTGCTCTGCAAGCAATTTTCATGTAAATGAATGAGTTTCATTTGGAGTTTGATCATCATGGTTTAACAGACTGTTAATTAGGCTTCAGAGATAAACACAATGCATTCTGGTGAGTAATACTGACTCTAACTGTGTGTTTACAAGAAAACCTCCCTCATGTTTAATATCAACTTTTATTTTATTCTTTTTTATCATGTGTTTCTCATATCTAGCTGAAATCTAACTCAATAATTCACTGGTGTGTTGAGAGGTTTTGTCAGAGACCCCCCACTGATAAGGAGAACTATCCAGAGGCACTTCAAGTAAAAGAGAAAACAGAGAGAGAGAGGGTTGGAAGTCTTATGTGGGGGAAAGAGGGAGTGACTGATAGGAAAGTGAAGAGAGGAGCGCCATCAAGAGGATCCTGACATCTACCATATTTGTGAGGGCAGCAAAGATGCTGTCAGTTAAACTTGCTCCAGTGTGTGTCAAGGTTTTCTGCCTCGTCATGAATACCACCAGATTAGAAACCTCCCTCGTTCCTCCATGGCTCCTTTATCTTTAATGAGTGTAGCAGTCATGGCATCTGTAATTTGAACCTGGTTTAACGCTGATGTGTGTTATTGTAGCACCTCTGGATGCTGTTTGTGCCGGATGGGGTCCGCTCAAAGAGTCATTGTGTTTGCTCTGTTAAAGTGCTCACTGTCCCCCTCCTCCTTTTTTACCCACTCTCTCAGATCCCAGAGGAGCACGACCTGGAGAGCCAGGTGAGGATGGAGCGACAGTGGAGGTTCCTGAGAAATGCTCGTGTGAGGAAGCAGAGCCGAAGTATCACGCAAAGAGGTCAGTGACGCACACACATAAGTAAACTCCAAACTGAATTACTCACATTCAATTTGCCCGTGGTTCTACCTCACCATGTTCAAAAGCCTAATTGGCAGCAGAAGCATGGAGCTAAATTGCATATATATATCTATGCAATTAAATTTAGCACTTAAATCAAAAACCTAAAATGGTGAGGTGCTTTTTTGATACAGCTTTTTAAAAATATAATTTTTAATGAATTTTCTTTTTTGATACAGTTTTTTTTAAATATAATTTTTAATGAATAAAACAACAAACCATGGAGCTGCAAAGATTGATGCAGTTACTTCACGTGTCCTGTCTGAGCTGGTCTCTGCTGCACCACATCAGTCTGAAGACTGAAAAAATTGGCAATTAAAAAAATAATGAAGCCTAGAACCAGGTATGGACAGGCCTCTGCCACAGGAGTGTCAAGGATTAACCAAAATCTGAACTGCCATAATGATCGGTACATGTAAGCGAGGCCTATTACTCATTATCTGTCCATTGATGGCCTTGGTTACTTAAACAAAAAGCTAAGGTCATATATGTTGATTTCGTTAAAGATATTTTTTCGGGCATCTCACCTTTATAGACAGGATAGTAATCGTGAAATGGGACAGAGAAAGAGGGAAGACAAGCAGAGCTGGTACTGCAGGCCACTTATTTATTACATTTATTATTGTTTATTAGATTGACTGAAACTAGTCCCTGTCAGATTTTAAGAATCTTCAGAATTTACGAGGGTCCTTTCTGATCGCTCTATAGTCTGCAGTGTGAAATACATGTGTTGAGCACAAGCTGAAATATTGTCAGTTTCATATAATTTAATGTTTTAATAGTGGATGAAGGCAGGATTGCACTGAAATCAATCCCGTCCAAATAAAAAGACAAATTTGAACACTTAGCAGGTTTACAGCTCTGTTCAGACATGTGAGTTAGTGTGCAGATGATTTTCAATGATGAGAGAGCACTGACTGTTTTCACTGGATTGTTAGAAACAACTGGATTTATGAGTCACAGGACTCCCCTCTCACACGAACGCAGACGCACAACCCTACATATTAAAGAGCCCAGGGTGCCAGGATACACGCAGGCTTCCCATGTGAAGTCAGAGCTCTCTCAAACAGAATAGCTAACAACCCCAACGTCATCGGCTGCTTCCCTCCATGCACACACACACACACACAGACTCACGAGGCGATTGGCGTCAGAGCTGAGGTTTGCTCACGCACATGTCTCACCCCCACTTTCTGACTGCTTGCTAGATCATTGAATTCCCCTCTATCCTCCCAGTTTTTTGAAAGAGAGAAGTAGTAATGTTGCCCTCATTTAGTCTGTTCCCTCCAGAGTGAAACCAGAGAAGAGGAGGTTTGAGGATGAGATGGAGAATGTAAACTAACACAAATATATCGGCTTATAAACCTTTCCTTTATCTGGTTTTTCTTCTTTTGTTGATCCAATTTTAACCACATCACCATGTGGTTCTTTCAGATTTTACAGAACTTCCTAAAGGCAAGTCCATGATGATGATCATGCTCTTGTAAACACCTCTGACTGTTTTTTTTTCACCATAGCAGCACATATAATGAATTCTGGATGGATTTTTTCATCATTCTTCTTCATCTCATTATGGCAGTCTAGAGAGTATGTTTAGGTAGCCAAGGACAGGCTGGCAAACCGGCGGATGTAGTTGCCATGACAACGTGTGGTGAGGCGGTGAACTCATCAGTTGCATTGGCGTATTGGTGTTACTCTTGCATCAAAAACTGCCACAGGGGTACACATGTTAGGGAGAGTGAGAGTTTCATTTTTCTCATGGCTGTGTATCTCCTACCGTATATTATGTCATATTTTTAGTAAATTTTTGTCGCTTAAAGGTACAGTGTGTAGAATTTTGTGATATTTAGTAGTGAAGTTTCATGTTGCAGCTGAACACACCCTCACCCTCTCCTTCCAAATATGAAAAAGAACCAGTGGAAACCTTCAGTTGTCATAAAAACTCAAAAGGTGTTTAGTTTGTCCAGTCTGGACTAATGTAAAAAACATGTTGACCCCCTCAATGTACAGATAAAGTATTTAAATATAAAGGGTCTTTTCTGGGGTAAAGAAAACTACAATTCATACAATTTAGATGAAACAAGCTAGTGAAAACATCATGAGGATTATTCTACATGCCAATAGTTCCCTTTCACCTGAACCTTACACACTGGACCTTTAACCCCAAGTTTTACTTTGTGTTTTTTAACAACAACCTACCAATGCTGTAGTCCTTCCTTTTTTCCCATATGTCATTTATTCAGTCATACAATGTTTTCTTAATGTCCTGTTTTCTTTGTTCTTTTTCAACAACATAAATTAACTATCCTCTGTTACATTGCTTTAAACTGGTTTGTGCCTTCATACAACCAGTGCATTTCAAATGTGATCTCTGTGCATCTGTCGGATGTAAGCATACACATGTACAGGCAGTGTGTCACCACAGCAGCCAGCAGTAGGGCGCTTGCTGTTAACGCAGGGAAGTATTAGATTTATGTTGCTTCAGGACACGCTGTGCCGAGACCCTCCAACTATATCAAGCATTTAAGGTTTTCAATGATCATTTCAGATCACAAGAGTTCCACGTTTTCTTCCTATCAACAAATCTCTTTAAAAAAACAACAATACAACATTACAGTTATCGCTTGTGTAGCCAAAGCTCGACATAACTTATTCCTCCGTGCTATAAACCTCATTAAAAACACATCACTGAAGTGTTCCACAGTAGGACATGCTCCTTTATTTTGATTATTTTGACTGGATAACATACAGAAAAGTATATACACATCCTGCTGCTCCATAACCTCAGCAGAACAACAAGGCATCATCCAAATGGCCTTTAAGCACCATCCTCAGTATTCTTGGACGAGTAGCTTCAAATCATGTCCAGCAACTGGTTGATGGAGCTTGATTGACTTTGGAGCATTTCACATTTGAATGCTTCCACTGTGACACTGGCAGACATCTTGGTAATATAACAGCATTAGACCCGGGCCACTCTGGATGTGTGAGCCTTGCATCGCGGCATGTCTTGCTTTTCATTTAGATTATTATTGCAGGACAGGAAGATGCACGGCTTCATACCATAGAGTCCTGGCATTTAGTTGCGTATATAGTCATACTTTTATCCAAGGAAATACATATTCATACCAGAAACCTCCACAAACTAACTGTAACTAACATGTTACTGCTGCTACAGCCATCATCAAGGCAGTGACGGTCACTGCAGCTGCTGTAGTTAATCAAGATGATTTCCTTCTTTTTACAATTGCTCCTGTTCTGGTTTAACAACTCCCCCCCCCTTCCCTTCCCACCCTCCCCTCTGTGCCACTTTCATTCCAGGTGTCTCCCGTCTGGATGATCAAATATTCATCAACCGTAACCCTGGAGTACCGTCTGTCGTGAAGTTCCACCCCTTCAACACCTGCATCGCCGTGGCCGACAAGGACAGCATCTGGTCAGGGACACACAACACGCACTCCGATTAGTTTAATGTCAAGAGGACCATTATGTAAATGATTCTGTTTCATACCTGATGGTTTTTGAATGTGAATGAAATGTGGTTTTGTATTCTGTAGTTTCTGGGACTGGGAGAAGGGCGAGAGGCTCGACTACTTCTACAACGGAAACCCTCGTTACACTCGCATCACAGCCATGGAGTACCTGAATGGACATGACTGTTCGTTATTGCTCACTGCAACAGGTAAGAAACACACGCACACACTGACAGTGAGAAGTCAGGAGCATGGAGTACTGCGGAACAACAACTCATGTCAGTAAATTAGGCTTTTTGTTTCTTCAGTGAGCAGTTCCAATGTTCACAGCCACCAGAAATCGTATAGAGACTCATTTGTAACAGCAGCACTTGACTTACCCATTGCGAACACGCACAAAAACACTTGTGTGTATTCATCATCATTCATCAACGAAACAAACCCTCCATGGCTTTATCTTCATTCCAGTGGACTTGAAGAACACAGCTCAACATTAAAACAAACACAGAAACAAACATTTCTTTTCTTTTGTCTCCATGTGTAATATTAAACTGCAAATGAATGCTGTGTTTCATTGCACACCTCCAGAAACCTTGAGAAAAGCTCAGGAATTAATACATTTAAATTCCATCTCATCAATTTGTAATGTGCACTGCTTAAAGAAAGGTATCAGCGAAAGAAGCACTTATATAAAATATACAGCATTAAAAAAAAGGGAAAACACTGAATGTAAATCAAGAGATTTTTATGGATTATAATAGCTTCCTCATGTGAGTGCGTCGACGTGTTTTATCTTCAGCTCAGTGTCAGAGCTCTGTTGTGGCTGTTCTGTTCAGACAGGATTTTTTAGAGTGTTAGAGACTCCTGCTTTATTTTGCATCTCCCCGACAAAATACTTTCAGGCGTACAGCTCTTGGAGATGCTTCTCTACACTTTGTATTTATTCTTTTGAGAAGTGTGTGTTCATGGTCAAGTTATGGCATATCTGCTGCATTTTTTAAAAGAGTCCGGCTTTTCATCCTCACCTTCTGTACAGTTCAGCATGCCCTTCCAAAAGTTTTTGGTCTGTGTACTACTTACACTTTGCTGTATCTTCAGACTATCTCTATCTTCCTGTCTCCAACCTACACCTCTCCTTTCTTTCTAGATGATGGAGCATTACGCATCTGGAAGAACTTTGCTGACCAGAAGAACCCAGAGATGGTGACAGCTTGGCAGGGTCTTTCTGACATGCTGCCCACTACCCGAGGTCAGCCCTCAGCCAGCGCTCACAGTAAAGATCAACGCTCTATTTTTCTATATGCCCCTCACCCACCCATCCATACCCTCACAGTACTGTACCTCCTGTATTTACTCACCGAACTCGCCACTGTCCAACCCATCCCAGTCATACTCCCACACCTCCCCACCCGCATAGTGACTGGGTAGAGTAGGAGTTGACTGTATAATGTACTAGATACTGTTTCTTTAGATGTTTTTCTTAAGTAATCAGACTTTAAACTGCAGCAGCTTTTTCTAATTTCAGCAGAAAAGTGATTTAAGGTTATGTTTGTTACTTTTAAGTTATAAAGCCCATATAACTTGTGCTTATCAGCATCTAATGTGGTCACAGCTAACAATAACATAGAGTTCTTAATGCTCATAGGTGGTCATACATGAGTTCAAGTGAAGTGAGTAAACTGACTCAGCAATGTCAGTGACGGTAGAATTGGCTACAAATGGCTGACTAGCGAAAGCCACCGTTAGCCATCTTAATGTAATGATGGCACCTATAGACTGTTGAGGCACATGACAGGGCCTCTATCGGCCCCTTGTGGCTGGCTGTAGTATAGGTCATAATCCACACCTTTCTCATGTTAGTGGATGACACATGGGTAAAACTAAAAAGTCTTATAACTCTGATGTATGTTCAAGTGCTATTGTATCCAGTAATTCTGGTTTTAATTGGATATTTTAAATTATAAAAAGGGGGTAGAACGTCATGATTTACAGCTGAGACTCACTTGCTATTGGTGTACTCCATACTGATGGCCACCTGTGCAGACTCACCAGAACGACTAACGCTGGAGCAGGGGAAGCTCTTAATAGATTAAATTGATGAATGGTGCATTGTTGTATTTATAAATCTAATTTGTAACAGGGAGAGTGTTATTTTACTTGTTTCAGAGAGTCATAGTCACCCACATAACAGTTTCTAACAAAAGGCAATGAGTGAAACTGAACCATGCTTAGTCATGCTAGAACATGTGATACTTTCACAGAACTCCCCTAACTCCACCGAACAGCAGCATGCATACTGACTGTCTTACATGTACCATCCTGATGCTCCGTGAGCTTGTTAGGCTTACAGGACAGGGGTTGCTACAATATTTATGCTTCTGAGATACACAAAACCTATTTGTATTTAGGTCCTTTAAAAGTCATTATTTAATTGTAAAAGGTGAAGCAAAAGATGGCAGACACTCCACCACATGAGGCCAACATGAAGTTACAGGAGGAGCTTATTAACCCTATCAAACCCAGTCACATAGTGATGCCAACTGAGTGCAGTAGCACATCATGTCTCAAACGCTCAAAACCAAAGAGGTAAATGTTACATAAAGAAACAGAGTTCATATATATAGGTGTTTTCATTTCTTCATCCTTTTTAATGAATGCAAAAAATAGTGAAAAATCTATGTAACGGAAAGTTACTGAAGCTTTGACAACAAACCTTTGCTGGTTATTTTGATCGCTGTATGTCAAAGTCCAGTAGCAGCTCACAGCAGGTTGTCGTAGGATGCAGGTTCGTGTTGTCAGGTTTGTGTGTATGAGCCCACACCACTACACTGTGAAGTCCTGCTCAGTATTTCACATGTTGGACAACAGCACTGCTTGTGTAGGTTGATTCTTCCACATTGGAGGCAGGTTTTGAATCACTAGTCTGAATATAGTTCCATCACTCAAAGTGAATTTAATGCTAATTTAAAGCCTGTTATAGACCCCACCTGCCTCAGCCACATCCATGATAAACATGTCATATCTGTGGAAAGGTTTGGGCGAGTTGAACATGTCAGGAGGCTTTCATATGGTTAGTTTATTTAAAGAACACAAATAGATACAGTACAATAGGTTTTTCATTACTCATTCTCTACTTGTAGCAGGTTTGTCTTCTGTCGATATAATCGATCATTTTAAACTTGGACACCGGTGGATTCTGTGTTATGTTTTCTTCCTCTGTTGACACACCTCCTTAATTCGTGAGATAGAGTTACTCACAAATATTTGAACCAGGCCTGACACCCACAGTACACACTTGTCAGAGACATCCCTCCCCACTGCTGTGCTGGGTTACCCGCTCACACTCTCTCTTTCTCTCCACTGCACCACTTTTTTTTTTTCGCCTCCAGCGTTTCTCTTCTCGTAGTTTCTGGGCCAGAGAGTTTTTATGGGGAAACTATGACAGCTGTAGAAATGGTTGTATGTTTCTCCAAGTACCGTGGAGTAAATGACATCGTTAGCTGCTGCTCTTTTGTCTGCTTTGAAAGAATTTTACCGAGCATGATAACAAGAGACTGCAGTTTATTTTTTGCAACTTTCACATGCATTTATAGAGCACTGTTACAGACATATTTAGCTAATTGGTCGCAACTTGAGCCAAGCTGTCACGATGGCTGGCTCACTGGCTGACAGAGGTGTGGACCACACACTGCTTGCACATATGTGTTTCCATCATTACAAAGCCACAGAGTCCCCAGAGCTCTGTGGGGACCAACAGAGAGGTGACACACATAACTAGCATCACTGTCTGTGTAACTCTCTTGACACAAATGGTCCTGAGAGACTGTTGCTCTGCGGAGAACTCTCCCGCAGTGAGCTGAAGCCTTGTTTTCACTAAGACGTTAACATTTAATGGTGTCCTTGTTATCCTGGACGTGTCGTTAGTGACAGTCGCTGTGTAGCTTCTGCATTCGGACTACAGCCAAGGCATCAATTTTAATATAAATATATCAACATCCACTCGACTTAATGTCTCTCCAGGAAAAGTTTTACTGAGGACTCCAGCTTCAATTCAGTGTTCAGATATATTTTTTAAACTTGGAAGCAAACTTCAAAAACATTGACAGTCTCTCTCGCTCCTCTCTCATTTTCCCATTTTCCTCTTGTATTCATGCACAGCACCTCCCCTCCTGGCTCAGCCGTCAGTTTAGAGTTATTATAGTTACTTGGAGTGTCTTTCAGATGGAGAACAATTATTTTATGTTTGTGTTTTGAATTTTAAAGATTTTTAGCATTGCCTCAGCTGCATTAATAATTTAGAACCTGATGAAATATTACACAGGTCTGTCTTTGTGCTGCCTAAAACCTGAACTGCCTCTAAAGGAATTTGCTACAAGATCATGAACGTTTCTCAGCGAGATGCTGGCAGACACTGAAACTCTCTCTCTCTAACAGACACACACATACACACACACACACACAAACAGACCTGCACAACGTGTCCTCCCTCATACCATCCCTGTCATCCAATATCAGGCTTGTGTGCTGTCTTTTTCATCAGTGTACATCTCTGTAGACTTTGTCTGTGTGGCCTCTTGTTACTTTTCTGGTTCTTTGATATTGTTTTGTGTGTGCTCCCCCTCAACAGTGAGGCTGAACAAGGCAGCTGGCAGTTTTCCCCATAATATACACCTCCACAACAACAAATCTGGCTATAAATGAATGGATGTCTTCAACCACACACAACTTCTTCCCCAGATAAATTATGACCATGTGTCCTTTCCAGAGTCTCATTCCTATGCACATTCACACTCCCAGGGTCCTCTCGTCCAGCAGCAGCTCCACCCTGTCTGCTTTCTGTCCTGTGGTAAAGGGATTTGTGATTCTGTGCCCTGCAGGCTCGGAGGTTGGGGACCTTGTGCAGCTTCCACAGCCGCTGTTTGTGATGCAAAGACAGCAGCTCGGCTAACACCTCAGTCTCTCTGCTTTCATTCTTCCATCCCATCATATCTGTTAGTCATTTGGGAGACGACACACTGGGAGACAGTAGCCTTGTTCACCCCCCCCTGAAGTCACTCTTTTTAAGTGTATGAACGTGTGGCTCTGCATGCTATGGGATCTTTGCTAATTTGTTGCTTGCTTTGTTGCATTTCCCGCTCTCCTCCCTCCCCTACCTCCCCCCCTTGCACTTGATTCCTCCCCCTCCCCTCGCAGGTCTTGCCAGAAGGGTCTCCATATATCTTGACAGGAGTAAGCAAGGAGGTAAGTGACGCCATTCTCTTCTCTATCCCCTCACTCCCAGAGCAAAGGTGCTGCACTAAACAGCTGGCAGTGTGTCTCATTTTATGTTTTCTCCTATTCCCCTACCATCCCTCATCCTTTCATCTGTCTGGTGATGCTCCATTACACCATTCCTGGCAGCACTTTAAAGAAACAAACATTATTGTATTTCTGCAAGCACCAACTGGACAGTACACAGAGTACTTATGTCTAATAAAATGCTAAAACTTGCTGTCCCTACTTACTGTTGTTACACAATTATGTCCTTCAGTCCAGACAGGGAAAGATTTGGTGCTTGAACTCTGTCATGTTTGAAACAATGCATTCTTCATTTCAGAAAGACAGACAAAAGCAAACCTATTTGCAAGCTGAAATTATAGCAGTTCATTTATCCCAAGCTAATTAAGCCTTGGTTGACTCCATGTGTCAACTGACTTGTTTTAAAAAGAAAACCTTGTAAAAGAAATCCATTCATTAAATTATAATATTTAATGGCGAAAGACTGATGCCAAATGCTAAACCTCAACGTCCTGAACGTCAGAATTGCAAGTCTGATCAAGAGAAATGTCGGATCAGAGTGTTATTTAATTCTAAAACAACTCTTGTGTGGTGGTCTAACTTACATACTTATCTCTATTTCAGTCTGACAAGTAACATTTGAAATGTTTATTGCAGCAGTGGAACAAAGTAAGTGTTTTGTATCCAGTCTTTTGAAAATAGATATAATGGGGGAGTGATGAGTAAATACTGTATCTTTAACCTCCCTGCCTGTAGGTGTATGTTGGGAGGGGTTGAATCAACGGGCATTGACAAGCAAAGGGAGAGATGGGAAATCTTTGTTGTTTAATAGACCGCCAAACTGGGAGGGTGTTCATAATAGAGGGTTGTGGAAAGTGAGGCATCATTTTTAAATATTACCATGGTAATGTTGGCTGTAGTTGTTGGAATCTAAAACCAATAAAGACGCAGCCTAAACAGAACTGCCATGCCCAGATTGGCTATAAGCCACAATGGACAATCACTGTTTAGGGGAGCTAATTTTATTTATGGTTAATTGACTGAAATCCACACGTGCTTATAAAAAGACAATAACTTTTTCCTTGGGTAAGGCCAGATTCTCTCTTGGCACAGACACTGCCCTCATTACTCATCCTCACCTCACAAAAATGTCCTCTTTCATGTATAAAAGAAATCCACTAATTTAAGCTGGTCCCATAGGTGTCAGTGTTTAATTGGGCGGGTGTTGGTGCTGTGTGATTTTAATAGGACAGAGCCACCCAGTCTGTCTCGCTGGACGGATCAGCCCACTAAGCTCCACCGAAACCAATGAAATGTTCGGACTGGGGCTGACAAAGGCTGGAGAATCTCTTTCTGTGGCCACTGCTTTAGTTTGCAATGTATGTCAACGGAAGGAGAGTTTTGGAGCAAAAACACAAGGGAGAGTGGGAAAATTCTTATGATAAGTTGGACAGGGGGTTAAAAGAAGCAGATGAGTAAACAGACAGAGGTTAGATCAGATCAAATAAAAAATGTAGAAAAGGAGAAGACTGTTCTTGGAGAAGGTGATGGTAGCGTTTGTTAATGGCTGGTGGGAAGGACACACCCAACACACCACAAACCCAGTTTCAGATTATCCATGTTGGAGTTTGTACAACAGTCAGTAGTTAAGTTCTGAAACAACTCCTAAAAATGTTTACTCATCTTCACTTCCCTCCCTCTTCTCATGCCGTCACTTAGCACTGCAGTTGCTAGAGGTTATGGATCTTTTTTATTCCTCTGTTGATCTTCTTTATATGTCCCCCTTCTTGAAGCTGCATAGGTAAAGTAGGACAGCCCTATCATCTTGGGTTTAGAGAGGCAGACACCATGTCCTGCTCTAAATTCCCCTTCTGTCCCTGGTGCCTTGTTAACATCAGGTCTCTGAAAGTTTGTTAAATCCATGACCAGGGACTTGGTGAGGAGACAGACATACTTGAAAGTTTCATGAAAATGAGTTGAATCCTCAAGGTGGACTCGTTTCTTTTTTCTGCAACTTTTATTGGAACCACGTCTCTCTGGCCTTATCCGTTGGGAGTTCAGCAACTTGACCCAAACTAGGCAACTGGTCATGTGTCAAATCGAGATGTGTTTATCTGTAAAGCTTTAGGCTTTGTGTGGGCATGTGTTGGATTATTTTCAGCATATAATATAACATAATAAGAAGAATCTCATGTTGAGATTGGGCCTCATGTTTCTCAGTATGCAGCTGAACACCCCTCACCTCACCCTCTCCTTCCAAACATGACAGAGAACCTGTGGTAGCTTCAGTTGTCATAAAAACTCAAAAGGTGTTTAGTTTGTTCAGTCTGGACTAATGTAAAAAACATGGCGGCCTCTGTAGAGAGGGTCCCCTCAATGTAAAATATAAAGTATTTAAATATAAAGGGTCTTTTCTGGGGTAAAGAAAACTACAATTCATACAATTTAGATGAAACGAACTAGTGAAAACATCATGAGGATTATTCTACATTAAATTTCTGCAAATAGATCACTTTCACCTAAATCTTACACACTGGACCTTTAATGTTAGTCCCCTTTCCACAATAATCAGGTCAACAAGAGCTGATGTCATGTTGGATATGGCTCCTTTGAACACGGTCTGTCAACCAGGCAGGTCAAAGCATTTTACCTTCCTTTACCTGAATGCCAGGCCTCGGGCCTCCAAAGGTTAGACAAATGCCACAGCAGGCATGTCTCTCTGCCAGTCAGAACACTCCCATACTTTACGTCATCTTCTATTAGAGACTCGTGTTTGCTGGGTAAGTCCCTGGTAATCCTGGAGAGGGTTTATTACCCAACTCCTGGAGGACCTTTTCAAAGCAAACAGGATGAATGAAGAGAGGGGAAAATGCTGAGGGAGAGAAGAACCAGGAAGGTCGACGTTTAATGAGCTGCAGTGTGTGGGAGAGCCAGTCCATTTCAGTAGATAATGGTACAGAATAGGAATGCAGAGGAAGGTGCCATCTACAGAGAGAAATGATTGAATCAAAGATATTTATGCAGAGAGAAATCGTAAATTAGGGATTTCCTCATTATGCTGTTACAGGCGCAGCATGATCTACCACAACTGTTAGAAGCCCAGCTGTTCTAACAATATCAATATCATTATTTGGGAGAATATTTGATCTCAAGCAAAGAGGCCGAGAGCCAAAGCTTAAAGAGTAACAACATTAAAGCTATGTGTAATTCCTCCTCCGTAAGGTGGTTAGATTTACAGCTGAGGAGTCATTGCCCACACTGCTTTGCTCCTCCTCTTCTTTCTCTCGTCTCTGTTCTCCGTGTCCATATTGATTTCTGTGTGGGTAACTAAGACCCGCTCAGGCCCACATATGTTCCCTCTCAGGCGGAATCTTCTCCCTGTTTTGAGCGACTGAGTGTTGACCACCAGAGACAAGGGTCAGGTTTAAAGTCAAGGATCTGTGAGGTCCGACCGCCCAGTAAACGTTTTTGATAAGAGTCGGAAGGTGTTGGTTGCCTGAAGTGGAGAACAAAATCGCAGTTAACAGGGGAATGAAGTGAGACTAGAGCAGTGGAAAGTGATTGTGCTTTTGACCAACACTGGTCTGAAGTCAGCAGCCTGTTGTTATTTTAAGGGCACAGTATCAGGATAGTAGTGCACCTCTACAGAGGCTGGTGCACACCACACATACTCTATTATAATATCACTCTGCGTCGGTGCGAGCACAACTGGCTTTAAAGCAATGGGAGATGTTGCTCTGATTGATTTTTGCAAGGTATGCCCAAACCACATTCATGTTAATTAAAGAGACTAAGTACGAACATAAAAGCGTTTTAAAAAAAAGCTCAGGTTTATTTGGACACGCCCTTAATAAGCGATGTACTGTAGATCATGTGCTTCTATAGAATAGAGCCCTATGTGATGAAGACCATTTGGTTTGGTCAAAACCTCCAGAACAGAGTGACTGTTTTCTTAACTGCTGTTTTGCAGAACAAATATTGTAGCATCATTATTCAAGTTTCATTCTAACATGTACTGTATGCCTTACGTAATTGTTTTCATCAAATACCCATTAATAACATATAATGGGTCATAGTATTACACCACAGCAGAACTTGAGACATCAGAGAGTCAGAGGGAACACTGAAGGTTTATCAGGCCATGGTGAAGATGGAGACAGTGCAGTCTGCTATATCTTCTCTCATGCATATTTAATTGTTGCTCCAGTGGATCTCTCATCTTGAACGAACACAGGGAGAATGGTGCATAAACAGGAAAAAACTGAATCGAAAGCTTGAGAAGGTTTGGTGACATGTGCGCAGCGTAGTTAAGAGGAGATGCATTTGCAAGCTTTAGTGTGTTGGGAAATATTCCCTTCTCCTCCCCTCTCTTTGTAACCCAGATCTTTGTCGCTGAGCTGCCGGCTTCAAAGGGAATGCCTCCTCTCTTCTCGCAGCCTCTGAAACGAGCCTGCATCAAGCATGCCGCATGCGACTGTGAACGCGTCGCTGACTGAGCACAGTCCTGTGAAGTGGTTTTCTCTTCGTGCTACCCCTCCTCACACATAAGCCCACGCTACCGGCGGCGTGATGTGATGCTAGAGGAGGCCAGGTGACGTCACAGTGGAAGTTTGAAGTTGCCACATGGGGCTTGGGTTTCCCTAACAACCCATGTAAAACCAAGAAGGAAGGATGGTCACAGATGGTTCAGTGGAAGTTACAGTAAGGGAAGTTACGGCTCATGCAGGAAGCTCAGAAAGTAATGAGGAGAGGGAAAGATGCAATTATGCTGCAAATATTCATAATTATGATTCAAGGCTAGAGAAGACCAAAGTAATGATGTCCTTGCATGAGAGAGGCCACTTAGGATGAAAACAGTGTTGAAGAATAGAATGAATATATAATACAAGTGGGTGACCGAGAGATAGTTATTGATCGTGAAAAAGCAGGAGGAGGAAGTGACGAAAACATGAGGAGGAAAGGAAGGGAGTGAGGCATGGTTCAGTTCTAGAGGAGAGAAAATGATGCTGTTTCTGTAGCATCTGTGGTGAAAGTGATTCTTGTATTGATTCTTGATTTTTCAAGAGTACTTTTATTTCTGCTCAATAAAGCATCTCTCAGCTCCCTGGTTTATGTTAAATGAGGCTCTCCAACTGCAGCTGAACGCCCATTTAAGCCAAAGTTATAGAATCCTCCATCAGTATCACCACAGGGATCTTAAAGACATTACAAGATGGGGGCGGGGTTTATGATCTATACGGCAGTCTATCAATTGGGGGCGATGAATCTGCCCTGACCTCACTTTTAGGGAGCTGTCATGTCCTCACTCTTTATATACAATCATTAGCTGTGTCTCAATTCAGTGGCTGCATCCTTTGGAGGCTGTATTTGAAGACTGATTGGGTCCTAGCAGCCCAATTTTGAAGGCTCCTTCAAATACGGCCGACAAATTCATCATTCCATCCCCAACCTACACCAGGATTTATTGCGCTTCATCAAAGGGGTGATGCCGCCAGGAGATGAGATGTCCAGTGCTTGAGTATCACCTTCCAACTATATTATTTTATTTATATTTTAAAGAAACAAGGGGCATTACAACGTTTAGGCGTGCCCAACAACAGCAATAAGGGCGCAATGAGCTGGTGATGCTGAAAGCCTCTGTAGACCAGACCCTCTCATTTTGGTACAGCCTTCACTGTCGCAGCCCATGAAGGTTGCAACCCCTGAATTGAGACACAGCCTTTGGTTTGCACGCAGAAGAAGTGGTCACAAAGAATCACAAAAGAGAGCTTGAGAGGAAGTTTAACTCCTGCCTTCTGTCTCCTCTGCATCTATTCGCTGTGGAAGTTGGTTTTCTTTTCCAATTTATCTGTTTCCAACATCAGAAAAAAGTGGGGGGATTTTAGATGCTGCTCAACAATCTGACATGGATCTTATTTGAAGCGTGCCGATGCCTCCAGGCTGCAGCCAGAGGCCTGTGCCAGGCATCACTGAGCCAGCAGGCCAAGTGTGGCTGAGATGGCACTGCTCACTTCATTCCTGCTGTGACTGCCAACACATGAAGAGTCTTGCTGTCTTCAGCTTCTCTTCCTTCCTCGCCTTCTTACCCAAGTGCCATTTGACTCATCAAAGCCAAGACCTGCTGACAGGCTCAGTTACAGGGTCAGAGTTTGCATCTCCCACTGGCTGTCCTGTCAGGGAGGACGCAAAATGCAAAACTACACTTTTGTCAGCATGAAGAAGAAGAATGTGGAACTTCTATCAAAAACACAGCCTTTGACGTGTGCCGTGTAACTTCATAAAGTGACATTAAAAATTCTCCCACAGTCTCTGCAGGAGATGAGCATTTTTTGTTCCTGCTGAGGCCTTCGTGGTGGATTCATTAGTTACGCAGCGATGCAGGAACTAATCCTTGATTTAACTTGTTACATGTGGCAGCAAGAGCCTCCAAAACCTCCAACAGATTGTGTGTGCTGTGTATTAGAGGGACCAACACATGCTCAGTGTGTTTAACAGCTGTGCTTGTGTGAGTGGTGTGAAGTTTCATTTACAAATTAAATGAGCTCAATTTAAAAAACGGTAAATAAAGCTACAGTTCACATTGTAATGTTATATATTGAATCCTCATTTGTCTGACATTTTAAGTTGTATTTGTGAAAACAAGCCAGCCTCTGTTTTTTCAGTCAAGATGTGTGAATCAATACAGTACCCAGTACTGGTGTACACATTGTGTGTGTTTCATAGAGGATTCATGTAAGTGGCATGTCATCCTGTGACAGGTGCAGGTATGGTTGTGGACTGGGAGCAGGAGACAGGCCTCCTCATGACGTCTGGAGACGTGCGAGTCATCAGGATCTGGGACACTGACAGGGAGATGAAGGTCCAGGTATTGTACCCACTGTTGCTGCTGATGTCACAGTGCTCACATACAATTTGTAACGATTGATTGATGGGGAGAAACTAGCAGGTCTGTTGTCAAAAAATCTCTTCTGACAACCCATGAAATGAAGCAATGAGTGATTTCTTTAGAGTCTGGGAAGATGGAGAATGGTATCTGCTAGAAATCTAAACTTTATTACCACCTTGTTTTTAAGTGTCTCACTGTCGGCCTGTGTGGAGATGTGGTTGCATCCAGAATCTGGTTCCAACATTAAACAGGATGATGCCAATCATGTTGTTAAAGAGTAACATTTAAGTGCAGGTTCATGCACTGTTAGGTTGCAAGTGATTTCAACATGCAGCTAAATTTGAAGCCCAGTTAGTGGCCTGTGTAGCTCGTAGCAAATATGAGGCAGAAAGGTACGAATACACAAATCTAATGATTGTTTTTCTTACTGCAGCGTCAATATCATCAGAATTCATTTCACAAAATACATAGATCCATAACAGTGGAGTCCTTGCAAGTAAAAATATTCCATATAAATATCACAGATCATTTCAAACCTCCTTTTAAATCATCGCACTAAAAGCTCTGGAATCTATACATTTGAGCAGAATATTATCTGCCAAGGTTCAAGTGGCCTGAGAGTCCTGAAAGATATCATCATAGTATATTCACCAAATCATTGCCAATCACTCTGGTGATGCTAAACACAAAAGCATCATGTCTGTGATGCTCTGGGTTTACACCAGTCACATTTCAGCGTGATGTGTTACATGAGTTTACAGAATCCTGGTAGACTAATGTAAATCTGTGGCTGAGAACCATTAGTGTGGTTTCTTCTTTTTCCTGTCTTTTTCCATATGTAATGGTCCTTAGTGAGCTAATCATTGTCTTGATGGATGGACTTAATACAAGTACAAATATCCAGGCCTCGCCTGTGGCTGCATATTGATGCTGTGTCCAACTGCAAATGAGCCAACAGTCATCAGAGCTCATGATTGATGATTTCAAAGCAGCTTTCGGGTGAAATTAGCGTTGTATCGACAGTATTACTCTGTGAGGTTTTATTACACGTCTTTACCTGTGTGTGTGTGT